GGAGTTGTTTGCGTTTTTTGTCTTCTGGCAGAAGTTGCATGAGTGGCAGAAGTTCAAGATGTCCGCCTTCATCCTTTTCCAGTAAGCGCAGGCTCAGCTTAGCCCAGAGTTTCTCTGGTCCTGCGTGTGCCGACTCTACTGCAGATTCGTGACTTTCTTTGAGTATCTCCCACTTCATATCCTCCGGTACGCAAAGACGTGGAGTCACTATAGTTAGATGGTTTTTGAGCCTAATAGAGTACTAAAAGTGGTTATTTTTTAGTCTTAAGAGGATTCAAGACCACTCAGTGGTCTAGACTATCTACCTTGTTGGGCACAACCACCTATCCCAAATGCAGTAGCACACCCTATTTTGAGTGTTGAAAAGGGTGGTCTTGACCATTTGTTGGCCTTTGGTTGCAACCACCCTGTGATCATGCATTTGTGAATGCTCTATTTACCCTTTTAGGCTGCCTGTATGGGTGTTTCAGCTTGTATACAAAAACATTGAGAGTGCATTGTCAGGGGACGCCACGCTCCTTGGGCACGTGATCATGCACGTGACCCACTGCGCCCTCTCTGCCAACCCGTGCCTGCTCACCTGTCGATCACCCAGCCTCCTCCTCCTCCTCCGATCCTCATCTCCATCCAAGCCAATATTTGCCCTCTTTCTCCTTCCCCCGGCCATCTCCCTCGAATCCCTGCAAGCGGTCTAGCCAAGCCTGATTTCTTGCACCAGGGAGTGCTACTGCCATACGCACTCCTCCCCCTCTACTTCAGCCTTCTTCCCGTGGATATGGTCTACTGCCATACAGGCTTGTACCAGATGTCCTTACGCTCATCCACACCACCCCTCTTCCCAGTCAGGCATTGGTCCTCGCCTCCGATGTCTCCACTGGCTGGCCCAGCACTGGCCTAGCCACTGGGCTCCTCCAGTGTGGCCTTCCCATATATACATCCCCTACATCATTCTGGGCGCATTTTTGAGCACAGCATGGTATAAAATTCCCACTTTCATCCATCAGTCTTTTCTCCTTCTGCTGCCCTGGCAGCTGCACCTGCTTCTGCTCAGTCATTGTGTTATGCCTGTTATCTGTTGAAGCAGGAAATGCAGAGAGAACTGGAGTCAACAGTAAGAAGCTCTGCATTGCAAGACAAGACAAGAAAAGAATCTACAGACCTGGAGTCAACAGTAAGAAGCTGAAGAACTCCAGGGAGGGAGGAACTATCTATGTGGATGGAGCATGTGACTGTATAGGAATCATGTGACTTGGAGTCATGTGACCAGAATGATGGAATGATGGGAACAGTGATAGAATCAGATATCATCAGTGATGTAATCAGTGATAGGATCAGATGGAATCAGATGATCATGTGACCTAATCACCAGAGAGTAATCAAGTCCAAAACCCATCACCAACACATGAGCACAGTGTAGTCATGGTGAACTGATAGGTATGTAGTGGAGATCAGATTATGAGACAGAGCAGGGACATAGAGCACATTGGAGAGGATCACAGACCGGCTCCTGGCATGTCCATGGATCAGTGGCCTAAGCACTATCTCCCCCACAAGCTCTGAATAGACCACAAGTCCATTAGCCACTCTGATGGGTGCCCTATGAGGACGAGTGTTCTGCAGCAGGTGCACACAATGGGTCATATGTGATGTAGCACCAGAATCTGCAATCCATCTGAGCTCAGGGTCAGCAGTGGAGTGGGAGAGAAGGCTTGTATGAGTGGCCACTTCAGACTTGACTGCACCCTTTCTGGGCCTAGGCCTAGGCTCAGGCTCAGGCTCTGGCTCAGGCTCAGAAGCATTGTCCTCTAGGAGAGACAGAAACTCTGGGCATTTTAGAAGTGTGTGGCCATGTTGATAACAGGCATAACACAATGGCTGAGCAGAAGCAGGTGCAGCTGCCAGGGCAGCAGAAGGAGAAAAGACTGATGGATGAGAGTGGGAATTTGATGCCATGCTGTGCTCAAAAATGCGCCCAGAATGATGTAGGAGATGTATGTATGTAGCTACAGGCTCTCAGGAGTGTGTTGATCTCAGGCACCTAGCTGTCTCAACCTCAGGATCACAGGAATGACTACCTGGTGTTTCCTGATGGACCAAAGAGCACACCCACTTAAGGATAGAGTCCCAACTACTAGTGCCTGAACCACAGACACTATAAGAGCAGAAAAAAATAGAACAGAGAGGAGCAGAGATGTCAACTGCAGTAGCAGGACTGGGGCAAGCAGGCAGCAGCAGGCAGAGAAAATCAGAGAATGGAAAAAACTCGAAAATCTCAGATTGAAGCAGGAAATGCAGAGAGGACTGGAGTCAACAGTAAGAAGCTCTGCATTGCAAGACAAGACAAGAAAAGAATCTACAGACCTGGAGTCAACAGTAAGAAGCTGAAGAACTCCAGGGAGGGAGGAACTATCTATGTAGATGGAGCATGTGACTGTACAGGAATCATGTGACCTGGAGTCATGTGACCAGAATGATGGAATGATGGGAACAGTGATGGAATCAGATATCATCAGTGATGTAATCAGTGATAGGATCAGATGGAATCAGATGATCATGTGACCTAATCACCAGAGAGTAATCAAGTCCAAAACCCATCACCAACACATGAGCACAGTGTAGTCATGGTGAACTGATAGGTATGTAGTGGAGATCAGATTGTGTGACAGAGCAGGGACATAGAGCACATTGGAGAGGATCACAGACCGGCTCCTAGCATGTCCATGGATCAGTGGCCTAAGCACTATCTCCCCCACAAGCTCTGAATAGACCACAAGTCCATTAGCCACTCGGATAGGTGCCCTGTGAGGACGAGTGTTCTGCAGCAGGTGCACACAATGGGTCATGTGTGATGTAGCACCAGAATCTGCAATCCATCTCAGCTCAGGGTCTGCAGTGGAGTGGGAGAGAAGGCTTGTATGAGTGGCCACTTCAGACTTGACTGCACCCTTTCTAGGCCTAGGCCTAGGCTCAGGCTCAGGCTCAGGCTCAGAAGCATTGTCCTCTAGGAGAGACAGAAACTCTGGGCATTTTAGGAGTGTGTGGCCATGTTGATAACAGGCATAACACAATGACTGAGCAGAAGCAGGTGCAGCTGCTGTTGAGGATGGGTTTTGGACTTGATCACTCTCTGGTGATTGGGTCACATGATCAACTGATTCCATCTGATCCTATCACTGATTACATCACTGATGATATCTGATTCCATCACTGTTCCCATCATTCCATCATTCTGGTCACATGACTCCAGGTCACATGATTCCTGTACAGTCACATGCTCCATCTACATAGATAGTTCCTCCCTCCCTGGAGTTCTTCAGCTTCTTACTGTTGACTCCAGGTCTGTAGATTCTTTTCTTGTCTTGTCTTGCAATGCAGAGCTTCTTACTGTTGACTCCAGTCCTCTCTGCATTTCCTGCTTCCACACATAATTCGAAGACTCCCCTCATACCCTCCTACCTCTAACCTCTTACCATTGCATTCCTCGCCGCTACACCCGCTATATCCTCTTCACCCTTATACTGAATCATCTAGTCATTCTCTGCAATCGCAGTAAAGGGTTCATATTGAGCAAACAGCACCAGGCCACGGGTAACGTTGAGCCCGACCCAAGCCTTATGGTAGCTACAAGGAGTGCTGCAGAGACCCTTGGGAAAACGCACCTCAGGATCATTGGGCACATGAAGAGCTAGGCCCGGGAGCTTTTCGCTAGCAAAAGAACCTTTCCTTGAGTGCTTGTACAGCACATGAATTCATCATTTTGTTCCAATTCCCATCATTGTCTGGGAGTCTGTGTCCTCCTCTCAACCTACCATTGTCGCCTGATCTGGTGCATCAAAACCAGCCTGGGACCTCTAATCCCTACCTTGCCCTCCCGCCACCTGAAGACGAGATCCCCGACCTTGACGAGTTACCCTCCAAACAACCACCTTCACCTCCACCTACCACACCTGCTTGTACCATGTCAGGACATCACCGCATCACCCTCGTGTTGGTGATGGGTTTTGGACTTGATCACTCTCTGGTGATTGGGTCACATGATCACCTGATTCCATCTGATCTTATCACTGATCACATCATTGATGATATCTGATTCCATCACTGTTCCCATCATTCCATCATTTTGGTCACATGACTTCTGATCACATGATTCCTATACAGTCACATGCTCCATCCACATAGATAGTTCCTCCCTCCCTGGAGTTCCTCAGCTTCTTACTGTTGACTCCAGGTCTGTAGATTCTTTTCTTGTCTTGTCTTGCAATGCAGAGCTTCTTACTGTTGACTCCAGTCCTCTCTGCATTTCCTGCTTCAACAGGTTATGGGCCCCTGCCTCTAGAGTGCCTCTGAGTCATCTATTCTGAGATTTTCGAGTTTTTTCCATTCTCTGATTTTCTCTGCCTGCTGCTGCCTGCTTGCCCCAGTCCTGCTACTGCAGTTGACATCTCTGCTCCCCTCTGTTCTGTTTTTTTTTCTGCTCTTATAGTGTCTGTGGTTCAGGCACTAGTAGTTGGGACTCTATCCTTAAGTGGGTGTGCTCTTTGGTCCATCAGGAAACACCAGGTAGTCATTCCTGTGATCCTGAGGTTGAGACAGCTAGGTGCCTGAGATCAACACACTCCTGAGAGCCTGTAGCTACATACATAGATCCCCTCCATCATTCTGGGCGCATTTTTGAGCACAGCATGGCATCAAATTCCCACTCTCATCCATCAGTCTTTTCTCCTTCTGCTGCCCTGGCAGCTGCACCTGCTTCTGCTCAGCCATTGTGTTATGCCTGTTATCAACATGGCCACACACTCCTAAAATGCCCAGAGTTTCTGTCTCTCCTAGAAGACAATGCTTCTGAGCCTGAGCCAGAGCCTGAGCCAGAGCCTGAGCCTAGGCCTAGGCCTAGAAAGGGTGCAGTCAAGTCTGAAGTGGCCACTCATACAAGCCTTCTCTCCCACTCCACTGCAGACCCTGAGCTGAGATGGATTGCAGATTCTGGTGCTACATCACACATGACCCATTGTGTGCACCTGCTGCAGAACACTCGTCCTCACAGGGCACCCATCAGAGTGGCTAATGGACTTGTGGTCTATTCAGAGCTTGTGGGGGAGATAGTGCTTAGGCCACTGATCCATGGACATGCCAGGAGCCGGTCTGTGATCCTCTCCAATGTGCTCTATGTCCCTGCTCTGTCTCACAATCTGATCTCCACTACATACCTGTCAGTTCACCATGACTACACTGTGCTCATGAAGGAGAACTACATCCTGTTCAAGCGCAATGGTGAAGTGTACTTTGTGGCAGATATCTCAGAGCAGGGTCAGGCATTTGTGAGAGAGACTGGTTTCCCTTCTGCTGGTTCAGCACTGGTCTCTACAGCTGGGACTCTTCCCATTGACCTCAGCCTGATGCACAGGCGGCTTGGACACCACAGTGATACCAAGCTAGTCATGGATAAAGAGCTGGTTACTGGTGTGAGGCTTGCCTCTGCTAGGAAACCAGACCCCATCTGTGAGCCATGTCTCTTTGGCAAGCTGAATGCTGGCCTGTTTCCCTCAACTGGTCATCGTTCTGGAGCGCCTCTTGATCTCATTCACTCTGATCTAAAGAGCTACTCTGTGCCCACCCGCGAGGGCTGGAAGCACAGGGTGACTTTTGTTGATGATCACACTGGCTTCAAGGTAGCATACCACATGAAGAACAAGAGTGAGACATTTGCAGCCCTTAAGATGTTTCAAGCGTATGCTGAGACTCACTGGGGGCTAAAGATCAAGGCATTCCAGGACGATAAAGGGGGAGAGTACATGTCTAATGAGTTCAGATCACATCTGGACAAGTGTGGCATTGTGCACCGCCATTTAGTCAGGGCACGGCCTCAGCAGAATGGGACAGCAGAGCGGTCTAACCGCACCGTTGATGAGCACTCCACTGCCATGTTACACGAAGCCAACCTGCCCCCTGCCTTCAGGGCACTGGCGGTGTCTGCATACATCCATGTGTGCAACATGCACCCCACAGCTCGAGACCCCACCAGGACTCCCCATGAGCTGTGGTTCAAGGCAAAGCCTGATGTGTCTCATCTGCGTGTTTGGGGATGCCTTGCCTATGTGCATGTGCAACGAGACAAGAGAGGTCCTTCTGGTCACCATGTCCAGAAGTGTATCTTTGTAGGCTATCCTGCAGGGTACAAGGGATGGTTGTTCTTCAACCCAGAGACCCGGAAACTTGTGATTGCTGAGAGAGCAGTGTTTGATGAGCGCTACTTCCCAGGCAGCACCCCTCAAGCTATGAGGAGCTGTCCTGCGGCACCCCCCTCCTCCATGCTGGTGGATCCCCCTTGTGCTCCGGCACCGGTGTATGTCCCTGATGACGATGGTGACGATGAGCAGCAACAGCCGCCTGCTCGTCCTCTCCCTGCACCACGAGTTCCCTCTCCTGCAGCCAGCAGTGATGATGAAATCGACTTCTTGTGTCAAGCTCCACCACCTCCATCTCCACCACCAGCTGGGGATGCCCCGCTTCACCCTCTACCCTCGCCTCCTCCTCCCCAATCTCCAATTGGGGTGGCAGCTCGTCGTGCTGCTGCTGGCATCCATCGTGTCCCTGCACCACCCAGAAGGGCTCCAGCTCCGGCTGCTGCTCCTCCCAGGCGCACCATGGCAGAGATCTTTGAAGAGATCCCTGAAGACCTTAGTGACGATGAGCTGCTTCTGAAGTCATCCTCCGCCCTCATCGTGGCTCGCGAGGGTGACCCCTCAGATCCCAAGCTGGCAGCAGCTCACGCTACTGCAGTACTCATCGTGGCTCGCGAGGGTGACCCCTCAGATCCCAAGCTGGCAGCAGCTCACGCTACTGCAGTACAGTCCGTGTTGTCTGCTGTAGCCTCTGGGAACCCTCGGTCGTTCTTTGAAGCGTCCAAGCGGGAGGATGGTCCACTATGGCGCGCTGCAGCTGCATCTGAGATTGACTCTCTACTCAGCAACTGCACATGGGATGTGGTTGACTTGCCACAAGGGGTCAAGCCAATCCGCTCTCAATGGGTGTTTGTGATCAAACACAAGTCTGATGGCACTGTGGAACGCTACAAAGCCAGACTCGTGGCAGATGGTCGTGGCCAGCGCTATGGCATTGACTACCACGAGGTGTTTGCACCCACCTTCCGACCTGCTACTCTGCGCGTTATCCTTGCCCTTGCTGCCCAGAACAACCTCAAGTTGCGCTCTATCGACTTCTCTTCTGCCTACCTCAATGGGGACCTGGATGAGGATGTCTACATGACTCAGCCAGAAGGGTTCCCCCAGGGAGAGAAGGGCCAGGTCCTGAAACTGAACCGGTCCATCTATGGGCTGAAGCAGGCTGGTCGCCAGTGGCGCATCAAGCTGGTTGCCAAGCTGACTGCCATGGGGTTCAAGTGCATCAAGTCAGACAGCTCCTGCCACATCTACTCTGATGGTGTGGTGCGCGTGATCCTGCCCATCTATGTTGATGATGGCACCATTGCTGCAAAGCATGATGCTGACATTGACAGGGTCATTGCCCAGCTGGGTACGGCCTTCAAGGTGCGGGATCTGGGTCCTACAGAGTGGCTTCTGGGGATCAAGATAGAGCGTGATGCAGACACTGGAGACATCAGTATCTCCCAGCGCCAGTATGCTGTGAACCTCCTGGAGCAGTATGGCATGGCTGACTGCAAGCCTGTGGATACACCCATGCTGCCTGGCCTGTCTCTGACCAAGGAGATGGGAGCCAAGACTGAGGAGGAGTCCAAGCAGTTCAAGGGCAACTATCTGTCTGCTGTTGGCTCTCTGATGTACCTGGCCTGTCAGACTCGTCCTGACATCTCCTATGCTGTGGGGGTGCTAGCGCGCTTCAATAGCAATCCTGGTGAAGAGCACTGGAAGGCTGTCAAGCACCTGCTTCGATACATCCAGGGCACCCTTGACTTCCGCATCACCTACTCCAAATCCTCTCCCACCCTCTATGACCCAGCCACCCACATCCATCCTGACAACCTCTTCACCACCTTCACTGATGCTGATCATGCTCGAGACAAGGACTCCATGAAAAGCACTGGGGGGTATGTCATTATGATGGCTGGTGGACCAGTGAGCTGGAGGAGCAAGCTGCAGTCCACCATCTCTCTGTCCACTACGGAGGCAGAGTATGTGGCTGGTGTGGATGCTGGGAAGGAGATCAAGTGGATGCGGAATCTGCTGCACGAGCTGGAGCATGGTGTGTCTGGGGCTTCTCCCTTGATGATGGACAACCAGTCTGCCATCTCTGTGTCCAAGATGTTGAAGCAGGAAATGCAGAGAGGACTGGAGTCAACAGTAAGAAGCTCTGGATTGCAAGAGAAAACAAGAAAAGAATCTACAGACCTGGAGTCAACAGTAAGAAGCTGAAGAACTCCAGGGAGGGAGGAACTATCTATGTGGATGGAGCATGTGACTGTATAGGAATCATGTGATCAGAAGTCATGTGACCAAAATGATGGAATGATGGGAACAGTAATGGAATCAGATATCATCAGTGATGTGATCATTGATAAGATCAGATGAAATCAGATGATCATGTGACCCAATCACCAGAGAGTGATCAAGTCCAAAACCCATCACCAACACTCCCCCGGGATGAGATCAGTCTCTCAGCCTCTCCCCTGCAATCTCATCAGTGTGCGCAACCTTGCCACCTGAGGCCGAGGCAGCGCCTTGGTCAGGATGTCAGCCAGCTGGTCCTGCGTTGGCACATACTTCACATCAATGAACCCTCTGGCCACTTCATCTCTGAGCCAGTAGTGTGCAAGGTCCAGATGCTTCATACGCCCATGGTGTTCAGGATTCTTGGACACAGATATGGCAGACTGGTTGTCCATCATCAAGGGAGAAGCCCCAGACACACCATGCTCCAGCTTATGCAGCAGATTCCGCATCCACTTGATCTCCTTCCCAGCATCCACACCAGCCACATACTCTGCCTCAGTGGTGGACAGAGAGATGGTGGACTGCAGCTTGCTCCTCCAGCTTACTGGTCCACCAGCCATCATAATGACATACCCCCCAGTGCTTTTCATGGAGTCCTTGTCTCCAGCATGATCAGCATCAGTGAAGGTGGTGAAGAGGTTGTCAGGATGGATGTGGGTGGCTGGGTCATAGAGGGTGGGAGAGGATTTGGAGTAGGTGATGCGGAAGTCAAGGGTGCCCTGGATGTATCGCAGCAGGTGCTTGACTGCCTTCCAGTGCTCTTCACCAGGATTACTATTGAAGCGCGCTAGCACCCCCACAGCATAGGAGATGTCAGGGCGAGTCTGACAGGCCAGGTACATCAGAGAGCCAACAGCAGACAGATAGTTGCCCTTGAACTGCTTGGACTCCTCCTCAGTCTTGGCTCCCATCTCCTTGGTCAGAGACAGGCCAGGCAGCATGGGTGTATCCACAGGCTTGCAGTCAGCCATGCCATACTGCTCTAGGAGGTTCACAGCATACTGGCGCTGGGAGATACTGATGTCTCCAGTGTCTGCATCACGCTCTATCTTGATCCCCAGAAGCCACTCTGTAGGACCCAGATCCCGCACCTTGAAGGCCGTGCCAAGCTGGGCAATGACCCTGTCAATGTCAGCATCATGCTTTGCAGCAATGGTGCCATCATCAACATAGATGGGCAGGATCACGCGCACCACACCATCAGAGTAGATGTGGCAGGAGCTGTCAGACTTGATGCACTTGAACCCCATGGCAGTCAGCTTGGCAACCAACTTGATGCGCCACTGGCGGCCAGCCTGCTTCAGTCCATAGATGGACCGGTTCAGCTTCAGCACCTGGCCCTTCTCTCCCTGGGGGAACCCTTCTGGCTGAGTCATGTAGACATCCTCATCCAGGTCCCCATTGAGGTAGGCAGAAGAGAAGTCCATGGAGCGCAACTTGAGGTTGTTCTGGGCAGCCAGAGCGAGGATGACGCGCAGAGTAGCAGGTCTAAAGGTGGGTGCAAACACCTCGTGGTAGTCAATGCCATAGCGCTGGCCACGACCATCTGCCACGAGTCTGGCTTTGTAGCGTTCCACAGTGCCATCAGACTTGTGTTTGATCACAAACACCCATTGAGAGCGGATTGGCTTGACCCCTTGTGGCAAGTCGACCACATCCCATGTGCAGTTGCTGAGCAGAGAGTCAATCTCAGATGCAGCTGCAGCGCGCCATAGTGGACCATCCTCCCGCTTGAACGCTTCAAAGAACGACCGGGGGTTCCCAGAGGCTACAGCAGACAACACGGACTGCACTGCAGTAGCGTGAGCTGCTGCCAGCCTGGGATCTAAGGGGTCACCCTCGCGAGCCACAATGAGGGCGGAGGATGACTTCAGAAGCAGCTCATCGTCACTAAGGTCTTCAGGGATCTCTTCAAAGATCTCTGCCATGGTGCGCCTGGGAGGAGCAGCAGCCGGAGCTGGAGCCCTTCTGGGTGGTGCAGGGACACGATGGATGCCAGCAGCAGCACGACGAGCTGCCACCCCAATTGGAGATTGGGAGGAGGAGGCGAGGGTAGAGGGTGAAGCGGGGCATCCCCAGCTGGTGGTGGAGATGGAGGTGGTGGAGCTTGACACAAGAAGTCGATTTCATCATCACTGCTGGCTGCAGGAGAGGGAACTCGTGGTGCAGGGAGAGGACGAGCAGGCGGCTGTTGCTGCTCATCATCACCATCGTCATCAGGAACATACACCGGTGCCGGAGCACGAGGGGGATCCACCAGCATGGAGGAGGGGGGTGCCACAGGACAGCTCCTCATCGCTGGAGGGGTGCTGCCTGGGAAGTAGCGCTCATCAAACACTGCTCTCTCAGCGATAACAAGTTTCCGAGTCTCTGGGTTGAAGAACAACCATCCCTTGTACCCTGCAGGATAGCCTACAAAGATACACTTCTGGACATGATGCCCAGAAGGACCTCTCTTGTCTCTTTGCACATGCACATAGGCAAGGCATCCCCAAACACGCAGATGAGACACATCAGGCTTTGCCTTGAACCACAGCTCATGGGGAGTCCTGGTAGGGTCTCGAGCTGTGGGGTGCATGTTGCACACATGGATGTATGCAGACACCGCCAGTGCCCTGAATGCAGGGGGCAGGTTGGCTTCGTGTAACATGGCAGTGGAGTGCTCATCAACGGTGCGGTTAGACCGCTCTGCTGTCCCATTCTGCTGAGGCCGCGCCCTGACTGAATGGCGGTGCACAATGCCACACTTGTCCAGATGTGATCTGAACTCATTAGACATGTACTCTCCCCCTTTATCGTCCTGGAATGCCTTGATCTTGAGCCCCCAGTGAGTCTCAGCATACGCTTGAAACATCTTAAGGGCTGCAAATGTCTCACTCTTGTTCTTCATGTGGTATGCTACCTTGAAGCCAGTGTGATCATCAACAAAAGTCACCCTGTGCTTCCAGCCCTCGCGGGTGGGCACAGAGTAGCTCTTTAGATCAGAGTGAATGAGATCAAGAGGCGCTCCAGAACGATGACCAGTTGAGGGAAACAGGCCAGCATTCAGCTTGCCAAAGAGACATGGCTCACAGATGGGGTCTGGTTTCCTAGCAGAGGCAAGCCTCACACCAGTAACCAGCTCTTTATCCATGACTAGCTTGGTATCACTGTGGTGTCCAAGCCGCCTGTGCATCAGGCTGAGGTCAATGGGAAGAGTCCCAGCTGTAGAGACCAGTGCTGAACCAGCAGAAGGGAAACCAGTCTCTCTCACAAATGCCTGACCCTGCTCTGAGATATCTGCCACAAAGTACACTTCACCATTGCGCTTGAACAGGATGTAGTTCTCCTTCATGAGCACAGTGTAGTCATGGTGAACTGACAGGTATGTAGTGGAGATCAGATTGTGTGACAGAGCAGGGACATAGAGCACATTGGAGAGGATCACAGACCGGCTCCTGGCATGTCCATGGATTAGTGGCCTAAGCACTATCTCCCCCACAAGCTCTGAATAGACCACAAGTCCATTAGCCACTCTGATGGGTGCCCTATGAGGACGAGTGTTCTGCAGCAGGTGCACACAATGGGTCATGTGTGATGTAGCACCAGAATCTGCAATCCATCTCAGCTCAGGGTCTGCAGTGGAGTGGGAGAGAAGGCTTGTATGAGTGGCCACTTCAGACTTGACTGCACCCTTTCTAGGCCTAGGCCTAGGCTCAGGCTCTGGCTCAGGCTCTGGCTCAGGCTCAGAAGCATTGTCCTCTAGGAGAGACAGAAACTCTGGGCATTTTAGGAGTGTGTGGCCATGTTGATAACAGGCATAACACAATGGCTGAGCAGAAGCAGGTGCAGCTGCCAGGGCAGCAGAAGGAGCAAAGACTGATGGATGAGAGTGGGAATTTGATGCCATGCTGTGCTCAAAAATGCGCCCAGAATGATGTAGGAGATGTATGTATGTAGCTACAGGCTCTCAGGAGTGTGTTGATCTCAGGCACCTAGCTGTCTCAACCTCAGGATCACAGGAATGACTACCTGGTGTTTCCTGATGGACCAAAGAGCACACCCACTTAAGGATAGAGTCCCAACTACTAGTGCCTGAACCACAGACACTATAAGAGCAGAAAAAAAAAACCAGAACAGAGGGGAGCAGAGATGTCAACTGCAGTAGCAGAACTGGGGCAAGCAGGCAGCAGCAGGCAGAGAAAATCAGAGAATGGAAAAAACTCGAAAATCTCAGAATAGATGACTCAGAGGCACTCTAGAGGCAGGGGCCTATAACCTGTTGAAGCAGGAAATGCAGAGAGGACTGGAGTCAACAGTAAGAAGCTCTGCATTGCAAGACAAGACAAGAAAAGAATCTACAGACCTGGAGTCAACAGTAAGAAGCTGAAGAACTCCAGGGAGGGAGGAACTATCTATGTAGATGGAGCATGTGACTGTATAGGAATCATGTGATCAGAAGTCATGTGACCAAAATGATGGAATGATGGGAACAGTGATGGAATCAGATATCATCAGTGATAGGATCAGATGGAATCAGATGATCATGTGACCCAATCACCAGAGAGTGATCAAGTCCAAAACCCATCACCAACACAAGAATCCTGAACACCATGGGCGTATGAAGCATCTGGACCTTGCACACTACTGGCTCAGAGATGAAGTGGCCAGAGGGTTCATTGATGTGAAGTATGTGCCGACGCAGGACCAGCTGGCTGATATTATGACCAAGGCACTGCCTCGGCCTCAGGTGGCAAGGTTGCGCACACTGATGAGATTGCGGGGGAGAGGCTGAGAGACTGATCTCATCCCAGGGGAGTGTTGGTGATGGGTTTTGGACTTGATCACTCTCTGGTGATTGGGTCACATGATCACCTGATTCCATCTGATCCTATCACTGATGATATCGGATTCCATCACTGTTCCCATCATTCCATCATTCTGGTCACATGACTTCTGATCACATGATTCCTGTACAGTCACATGCTCCATCCACATAGATAGTTCCTCCCTCCCTGGAGTTCTTCAGCTTCTTACTGTTGACTCCAGGTCTGTAGATTCTTTTCTTGTCTTGTCTTGCAATGCAGAGCTTCTTACTGTTGACTCCAGTCCTCTCTGCATTCTGGCAAGATTCTCTTTGAGGAACTTGTCCAGCTTGACCTGTTCATTCCGTGACAATGGGTAGACCTTGCAGTCCACTGCCTTGGAACCAGGTTTGAGTTCAATTGCGTGGTCCCATGTGCGTCTGTCTAGCAGCGAGTCGAATGATTCTTTTGCGAACACCTTGATGAATTCCCGGTATTGATCCGGAACCTTCCCCTTGGTCATTCTCTCCCTCTCCTTTTCCGCTTCTTCTGCAAACTTCTGCGCCGGCGTTGCCTTTAGCCGTAGATCAACCTCCTTCCCAAAGTTGACCAATAGGATTGATTCTCCTTCCTCCAACTCCGATGCACACGTGTCCAGGTCAACTGAGTCCATATCTATCATCGCCTGATGCTCCTTGTGACCCCTCATGTTGCACTGTTCCGGACATCGACTGAATTTCATTGTCTGCTTGTGCCAGTCCACCTCGGGGTTATGCTCCATCAACCAATCAAAGCCAATGAAGATCTGTGCTTTTCCCAGGCATGTCAGGAGGAACGGGCATGTTTCCACGTGAGGGCCAATTCTCATCCTCAAATTGACATAGTGTGTGATCTGGCCACTGATGTTCTTGGCGTTGTTAGCGTTACGGGCCATGATGGGTTGGGGGAGTTCCTGGATATCCAATCTTTCTGCCTGCGCATAGTCAGTGTTGATGCAACAGGTACTGCAACTGCTGTCAAGCAGTGCCTTGACTCTGCGCATCCTCCCTGAGTCCAGGCCTGTGATCTGGACATATACGTCCATCGAATGCCTCTTCCTCTCTGCCTCGTAGTTGCGCAACTCCTGCGCCAACCTACTGGGTTGAGGGCCCTTCTGTTTCTTGGCTGCTGATCTTGTCTAAACAGCGTCTGGTACCCTTGTGTGCCTGGGTGCTTCTGGAACCATGATTTCTGTCAATTCCTTATGTGCTTCCTCCTTTTCCAAGGATTGAGCCTCCGGAGCAATGCTCCCCTTTTTGGTCTTTGTTGACGTGGTTCCTTCTCCACGAGCCATAAATACGTAGGAGTCCAAAATTAATTTATCTGCAGCCTTCTGATCCTTTTTACTCTGTAAGTACTCTCTATTTAAAGCTATTTTTCTTTGTCGTTCTTTTTCTATATCGGCAATGAGAAAATCGTGAATATTGGTACATAGTGAGTCCAAGATTGTGTATGTATGTGCAGAATCGTTCATGTCTTTAATCGAAACAAGTACAGAAAATTGTCCATAGTCCGGATGCTCCACCTCCTTGGCTAGAGGAGTGGAGCGCTTCAAAAACCCTTCTCGCGCAGCTTCTCGGCAATCTCCTTGAGGAACTCGTTGTCCTTGTCCCCATTCTCGATCTCTTCTAGCATTGTGGCCCAGTTGAAGAATGTGCGCTTCTTCCTTGGCTCTGGACAGTTCCGCGCAATGTGCCCAGGCTGCTGACAGTTGTAGCAGATGATATTGCGGCCGCGGGCGTGGGTGCAATCAATTTCCATCAGAACCGGTTTATTGGCAATGGGTCGGGTCGGTGCAGGTGCAGGCATTGTTGGCGCAGCCTGTGGGCGGAACTGAGGAGGTGGTCGTGGCGTGGGATGTCCGTAAGATGCCTTGCGTAGCTGGTCGCGTAGAGCATTGGCTTCGATGTTGATGCACCAGGCTTTGAACGCCCCATAGGCCTTGGGCAGAGGGACACCAGTGTTGTAGAGACAGCTGGCGATCTTGCTACTGAGTCCGCGCTCCAGGAACTTGATGAGGATATTGTCTTGGTCCCCCTTCTTGTACTCGCCCTTGTTGTTGGTGGTGTCAACCACATTGTATCCTACATCCGCAGCCAATATCTCAAAGTTGGAGATGTAGTCCGCAAAGGACCGTTTGTTTTGGCGCAGGGCCATGAGTCGAGCAGCAGCAACTTGTTCCATATTGGAGTCCCCAAAAGCCCTCTGAAGCTCCTCCAGGAAGTTCTTTGATGTGACCCCTGCCTTCAGCCCCTGGAAGCCATCAATCAAAGTTGTGCTGCTTCCAGTTCATTGCCCATCTTGAGGTGGCGCAGCTCATGCTGGTCTTGTTACGGAGGTAGGAGAGGAGGAAGAGGATCTTGGTCTTATCCTGCAAGAACTCTGATCAGTAGGCACCAATGTCGGTGGTGCACGAGTCTACAAAGCCTAGATATTTGGACTTGTCCCCATTGAAGTAAGGAGGGTTGGTGGCGAGGTGTTGAAGCAGGAAATGCAGAGAGGACTGGAGTCAACAGTAAGAAGCTCTGCATTGCAAGAGAAAACAAGAAAAGAATCTACAGACCTGGAGTCAACAGTAAGAAGCTGAAGAACTCCAGGGAGGGAGGAACTATCTATGTGGATGGAGCATGTGACTGTATAGGAATCATGTGATCAGAAGTCATGTGACCAGAATGATGGAATGATGGGAACAGTGATGGAATCAGATATCATCAGTGATCTAATCAGTGATAGGATCAGATGGAATCAGTGATCATGTGACCCAATCACCAGAGAGTGATCAAGTCCAAAACCCATCACCAACAAGCTAGTCATAGATAAAGAGCTAGTTACTGGTGTGAGGCTTGCCTCTGCTAGGAAGCCAGACCCCATCTGTGAGCCATGCCTCTTTGGCAAGCTGAATGCTGGCCTGTTTCCCTCAACTGGTCATCGTTCTGGAGCGCCTCTTGATCTCATTCACTCTGATCTAAAGAGCTACTCTGTGCCCACCCGCGAGGGCTGGAAGCACAGGGTGACTTTTATTGATGATCACACTGGCTTCAAGGTTGCATACCACATGAAGAACAAGAGTGAGACATTTGCAGCCCTTAAGATGTTTCAAGCGTATGCTGAGACTCACTGGGGGCTGAAGATCAAGGCATTCCAGGACGATAAAGGGGGAGAGTACATGTCTAATGAGTTCAGAGCACATCTGGACAAGTGTGGCATTGTGCACCGCCATTCAGTCAGGGCACGGCCTCAGCAGAATGGGACAGCAGAGCGGTCTAACCGCACCGTTGATGAGCACTCGACTGCCATGTTACACGAAGCCAACCTGCCCCCTGCATTCAGGGCACTGGCGGTGTCTGCATACATCCATGTGTGCAACATGCACCCCACAGCTCGAGACCCTACCAGGACTCCCCATGAGCTGTGGTTCAAGGCAAAGCCTGATGTGTCTCATCTTCGTGTTTGGGGATGCCTTGCCTATGTGCATGTGCAAAGAGACAAGAGAGGTCCTTCTGGTCACCATGTCCAGAAGTGTATCTTTGTAGGCTATCCTGCAGGGTACAAGGGATGGTTGTTCTTCAACCCAGAGACCCGGAAACTTGTGATTGCTGAGAGAGCAGTGTTTGATGAGCGCTACTTCCCAGGCAGCACCCCTCAAGCTATGAGGAGCTGTCCTGCGGCACCCCCCTCCTCCATGCTGGTGGATGCCCCTCGTGCTCCGGCACCGGTGTATGTCCCTGATGACGATGGTGACGATGAGCAGCAACAGCCGCCTGCTCGTCCTCTCCCTGCACCTCGAATTCCCTCTCCTGCAGCCAGCAGTGATGATGAAATCGACTTCTTGCGTCGAGCTCCACCACCTCCATCTCCACCACCAGCTGGGGATGCCCCGCTTCACCCTCTACCCTCGCCTCCTCCTCCCCAATCTCCAATTGGGGTGGCAGCTCGTCGTGCTGCTGCTGGCATCCATCGTGTCCCTGCACCACCCAGAAGGGCTCCAGCCCCGGCTGCTGCTCCTCCCAGGCGCACCATGGCAGAGATCTTTGAAGGGATCCCTGAAGACCTTAGTGACGATGAGCTGCTTCTGAAGTCATCCTCCGCCCTCATTGTGGCTCGCGAGGGTGACCCCTTAGATCCCAGGCTGGCAGCAGCTCACGCTACTGCAGTGCAGTCCGTGTTGTCTGCTGTAGCCTCTGGGAACCCCCGGTCGTTCTTTGAAGCGTTCAAGCGGGAGGATGGTCCACTATGGCGCGCTGCAGCTGCATCTGAGATTGACTCTCTGCTCAGCAACTGCACATGGGATGTGGTCGACTTGCCACAAGGGGTCAAGCCAATCCGCTCTCAATGGGTGTTTGTGATCAAACACAAGTCTGATGGCACTGTGGAACGCTACAAAGCCAGACTCGTGGCAGATGGTCGTGGCCAGCGCTATGGCATTGACTACCACGAGGTGTTTGCACCCACCTTTAGACCTGCTACTCTGCGCGTCATCCTTGCCCTCGCTGCCCAGAACAGTCTCAAACTGCGCTCCATCGACTTCTCTTCTGCCTATCTGAATGGGGACCTGGATGAGGATGTCTATATGACTCAGCCAGAAGGGTTCCCCCAAGGAGAGAAGGGCCAGGTCCTGAAGCTGAACCGGTCCATCTATGGGCTGAAGCAGGCTGGCCGCCAGTGGCGCATCAAGTTGGTTGCCAAGCTGACTGCCATGGGGTTCAAGTGCATCAAGTCAGACAGCTCCTGCCACATCTACTCTGATGGTGTGGTGCGCGTGATCCTGCCCATCTATGTTGATGATGGCACCATTGCTGCAAAGCATGATGCTGACATTGACAAGGTTATTGCCCAGCTTGGCACGGCCTTCAAGGTGCGGGATCTGGGTCCCACAGAGTGGCTTCTGGGGATCAAGATAGAGCGTGATGCAGACACTGGGGACATCAGCATCTCCCAGCGCCAGTATGCTGTGAACCTTCTAGAGCAGTATGGCATGGCTGACTGCAAGCCTGTGGACACCCCCATGCTGCCTGGCCTGTCTCTGACCAAGGAGATGGGAGCCAAGACTGAGGAGGAGTCCAAGCAGTTCAAGGGCAACTATCTGTCTGCTGTTGGCTCTCTGATGTATCTGGCTTGTCAGACTCGCCCTGACATCTCCTATGCTGTGGGGGTGTTAGCACGCTTCAATAGCAATCCTGGTGAAGAGCACTGGAAGGCTGTCAAACACCTGCTTCGATACATCCAGGGCACCCTTGATTTCCGCATCACCTACTCCAAATCCTCGCCCACCCTCTATGATCCAGCCACCCACATCCATCCTGACGACCTCTTCACCACCTTCACTGATGCTGATCATGCTGGAGACAAGGACTCCATGAAAAGCACTCGGGTATGTTATCATGATGGCTGGTGGACCAGTGAGCTGGAGGAGCAAGCTGCAGTCCACTATCTCTCTGTCCACTACTGAGGCAGAGTATGTGGCTGGTGTGGATGCTGGGAAGGAGATCAAGTGGATGCGGAATCTGCTACACGAGCTGGAGCATGGTGTGTCTGGGGCTTCTTCCTTGATGATGGACAACCAGTCTGCTATATCTGTGTCCAAGAATCCTGAACACCATGGGCGTATGAAGCATCTGGACCTTGCACACTACTGGCTCAGAGATGAAGTGGCCAGAGGGTTCATTGATGTGAAGTATGTGCCGACGCAGGACCAGCTGGCTGATATTATGACCAAGGCACTGCCTCGGCCTCAGGTGGCAAGGTTGCGCACACTGATGAGATTGCGGGGGAGAGGCTGAGAGACTGATCTCATCCCGGGGGAGTGTTGGTGATGGGTTTTGGACTTGATCACTCTCTGGTGATTGGGTCACATGATCACTGATTCCATCTGATCCTATCACTGATTAGATCACTGATGATATCTGATTCCATCACTGTTCCCATCATTCCATCATTCTGGTCACATGACTTCTGATCACATGATTCCTATACAGTCACATGCTCCATCCACATAGATAGTTCCTCCCTCCCTGGAGTTCTTCAGCTTCTTACTGTTGACTCCAGGTCTGTAGATTCTTTTCTTGTTTTCTCTTGCAATGCAGAGCTTCTTACTGTTGACTCCAGTCCTCTCTGCATTTCCTGCTTCAACACCTCGCCACCAACCCTCCTTACTTCAATGGGGACAAGTCCAAATATCTAGGCTTTGTAGACTCGTGCACCACCGACATTGGTGCCTACTGATCAGAGTTCTTGCAGGATAAGACCAAGATCCTCTTCGTCCTCTCCTACCTCCGTAACAAGACCAGCATGAGCTGCGCCACCTCAAGATGGGCAATGAACTGGAAGCAGCACAACTTTGATTGATGGCTTCCAGGGGCTGAAGGCAGGGGTCACATCAAAGAACTTCCTGGAGGAGCTTCAGAGGGCTTTTGGGGACTCCAATATGGAACAAGTTGCTGCTGCTCGACTCATGGCCCTGCGCCAAAACAAACGGTCCTTTGCGGACTACATCTCCAACTTTGAGATATTGGCTGCGGATGTAGGATACAATGTGGTTGACACCACCAACAACAAGGGCGAGTACAAGAAGGGGGACCAAGACAATATCCTCATCAAGTTCCTGGAGCGCGGACTCAGTAGCAAGATCGCCAGCTGTCTCTACAACACTGGTGTCCCTCTGCCCAAGGCCTATGGGGCGTTCAAAGCCTGGTGCATCAACATCGAAGCCAATGCTCTACGCGACCAGCTACGCAAGGCATCTTACGGACATCCCACGCCACGACCACCTCCTCAGTTCCGCCCACAGGCTGCGCCAACAATGCCTGCACCTGCACCGACCCGACCCATTGCCAATAAACCGGTTCTGATGGAAATTGATTGCACCCACGCCCGCGGCCGCAATATCATCTGCTACAACTGTCAGCAGCCTGGGCACATTGCGCGGAACTGTCCAGAGCCAAGGAAGAAGCGCACATTCTTCAACTGGGCCACAATGCTAGAAGAGATCGAGAATGGGGACAAGGACAACGAGTTCCTCAAGGAGATTGCCGAGAAGCTGCGCGAGAAGGGTTTTTGAAGCGCTCCACTCCTCTAGCCAAGGAGGTGGAGCATCCGGACTATGGACAATTTTCTGTACTTGTTTCGATTAAAGACATGAACGATTCTGCACATACATACACAATCTTGGACTCACTATGTACCAATATTCACGATTTTCTCATTGCCGATATAGAAAAAGAACGACAAAGAAAAATAGCTTTAAATAGAGAGTACTTACAGAGTAAAAAGGATCAGAAGGCTGCAGATAAATTAATTTTGGACTCCTACGTATTTATGGCTCGTGGAGAAGGAACCACGTCAACAAAGACCAAAAAGGGGAGCATTGCTCCGGAGGCTCAATCCTTGGAAAAGGAGGAAGCACATAAGGAATTGACAGAAATCATGGTTCCAGAAGCACCCAGGCACACAAGGGTACCAGACGCTGTTTAGACAAGATCAGCAGCCAAGAAACAGAAGGGCCCTCAACCCAGTAGGTTGGCGCAGGAGTTGCGCAACTACGAGGCAGAGAGGAAGAGGCATTCGATGGACGTATATGTCCAGATCACAGGCCTGGACTCAGGGAGGATGCGCAGAGTCAAGGCACTGCTTGACAGCAGTTGCAGTACCTGTTGCATCAACACTGACTATGCGCAGGCAGAAAGATTGGATATCCAGGAACTCCCCCAACCCATCATGGCCCGTAACGCTAACAACGCCAAGAACATCAGTGGCCAGATCACACACTATGTCAATTTGAGGATGAGAATTGGCCCTCACGTGGAGACACGCACGTTCCTTCTGACGTGTCTCGGAAAAGCTTGGATCTTCATCGGTCTTGATTGGCTGACGGAACACAACCCCGAGGTGGATTGACAGGAGCAGACGATGAGATTCAGCCGATGCCCAGAGTGGTGTCACATGAGGGGTCACGAGGAGCACCAAGCAATGATTGACATGGATGCAATTCACCTGGACACGGGCGCACCGGATCTGGAAGAGGGAGAATCAATCCTGTTGATCGACTTTGGAAAGGAGGTGGATCTACGGCTGAAGGAAACGCCGGCGCAGAAATTCGCAGAAGAAGCGGAAAAAGAGAAGGAGAGGATGACCAAGGGAAAGATTCCGGATCAGTACTGAGAATTCGTCAAGGTATTTGCCAAGGAATCATTCAACTCACTGCCAGACCGACGAACATGGGACCATGCAATTGAGCTCAAACCAGGTTCCAAGGCAGTGGACTGCAAGGTGTACCCGTTATCACAAAACAAACAGGTCAAACTCGACAAGTTCTTACAGGAGAACCTGGCCAGCGGACGGATCAGGCCATCGAAATCACCCATGGCATCAGCATTCTTCTTTGTCAAGAAAAAAGATGGCTTGCTACGCCCTGTCCAAGACTATCGGAAGCTGAATGAGATGACAACCCAAAATCGATACCCACTACCGCTGATCTCCAAACTGGTCCATAATCTATGCGGCGCCAAGTTCTTCACAAAGCTCAACATCTGGTGGGGATACAACAATGTACGGATCAAAGAAGGTGACGAGTGGAAGGCTGCGTTCTGCACAAACCGCGGGCTGTATGAGCCCTTGGTCATGTTCTTTGGCCTCACAAACTCCCCTGCAACCTTTCAAAACATGATGAATGACATACTCCGAGAACTGATCAACGAGGGTCATGTGGTAGTTTATCTTGATGATATACTAATCTTCACAGAAACCTTGGACGAACATCGGCGGATCACAAAACGAGTACTTGAATTGCTACAAAAACACAAGCTATACCTGAAACCCAAAAAGTGCGAGTTCAAACGCACAGAGATTGAATATCTGGGGGTAATTATTGAACACAATTCGATGCAGATGGACCCAGTCAAGATCAAGGGCGTGATGGAATGGCCTGAACCAAAAAGTGTCGAACAAGTCCAAGCATTCCTGGGGTTCACCAACTTCTATCAATGCTTCGTCCGGGGATATGCGGAGGTTGCCAAGCTATTGACACGACTGACAGGGAAGGCAGGATGGTCATGGGGTACAGATGAGTGTGCAGCATTTGATGGGTTAAAGAAGAGAATCGCGGAGGATGCAGTCTTAGCACTGCCAAATGACACCGGCCAAGATCATCTGGAAGCCGATGCCTTGGAAGGGGCAACAGGATCTGTTTTGAGCCAAAACCAAGACGGCATTTGGCGCCCAATCACATTTATTTTACACGCATTGACCGAAACCAAGCAAAATTATGAGATCTACAACAAGGAAATGCTTGCAATCATGTTATCGCTCGACGAATGGAGGCAGCTGCTCTTGGGGGCCACAGAAACGTTTGAGATCTTCACCGATCATCAAAATCTCGAGTAGTTCCAAAAACCACAGAAGCTCAATTGATGGCAGGCACGATGGATTACAGAGCTGGTGGAGTTTGATTTCACTTTACGACACCGGCCCAGCGCACTCAACCGCAAGGCGGACCTCTTATCTCGACGAGCAGATTACGATCAGGGCAAGAACGACAACAAGGACGTCATGCTACTAAAGCCGGAGTTCTTCCGATCACAAGAAGTCACATTCGAGGGGCAGGATCAGCAGCTAATCAATGAGATCAAGGCCACTCGGTCAATTGATGGAAGCGTCAAGGCAGCCTTGGAGAAGTCACTCGTCAGATGGAAAAAAGAAGATGGACTCATCACATACCATGGGAAGCTCTATGTGCCGAGGAACAAGGAGCTGCAGGACAAGTTCATTGGGCTACACCATGATACACCTCTGGTCGGACACGCTGGGATCAACCAAACGCAGGAGATGGTGGAAAGGAACTACTGGTGGCCAAGGATGGGAAACCAGATTTGGAACTACATCCAGACGTGCGAGGCATGCCAACGGACCAAGACCAGGAGAGCAAGGACAGGGACTCTACACCCGCATGCAGTTCCAAATGCGCCGTGGGAAATCATCTCGATGGATCAAATCGGACCCCTGCCAGTCAGTAATGGGTATGATGCAATTCATGTGTGGTGTGACACCTTCACCAAAATGATCCATGTCAAACCAATTAGTACTGACATCAGCAGCAAAGGAGTGGCACGATTAACCAGAGACCGAGTCTTCCGCTACCACGGGATCCCTTGCAAGATCATCACCGATAGGGATTTGCACTACATCAAGGGCTTCATGAAGGAGACGAATTGGATGTTGGGCGTGGAAATGAATCCAGGGACCGCATACCACCCGATCACAGATGGACAAACAGAGCGTATGAATCAGGAGATTGAGCATTATCTCCGCATCTACGTCAATTACCATCAGACGGACTGGTCGGAGTGGCTGGGAATGGCAGAGTTTGCATATAACAACAAGATGAACACGTCGACCAAAATATCACCGTTCTACGCCAATCACGGATATCACCCATGGAAGGGAGTGGAGCAGCGGATGGAATCAAGAAACGAGTCGGCGGAGGAGTTTGTAAAAAGAATCAAGGAAATACAAGACAAAGCAAAAGCAGCATTAGAAAAGGCAAATGAAAAAATGAAAAAATACTACGATAAACAAAGAAAAGAAGTTCCGGAGTTGAAGGTTGGGATGAAGGTGTACATAGAAGGGGATAATATCAAGATGGACAGACCCTTGAAGAAGATGAGCAACAAGAGATTGGGGCCATACGAGATACTGGAGAAGGTTGGAGCGGCCGCATGGAAGCTGGATTTGCCGGACACGGACCGAAGGCATCTGGTGTTCAACGAGTCACTGTTGACACCCTATCACGAACCACCCCCCCATTGCTGAGAGAAGAGGCCCGTAGCCAAGATGATCGGAGGTGCAGAGGAGTGGAAAGTCGAAGAGATCGTGAAAGAGCAAAACATCGGCCGAGGAAAACAGTACTTGGTCAAATGGAAGGGATGGCCACATAGCGAAAATACTTGGGAACCATCATGTCACCTTACCCACACAAAGAAGGTCCTGAGAGATTGGCAGAGGAAACAATCCAACCTAGACACACGCATTTGCCTCCTGCCAATGCTTGAAGCCAGACATTGGGATTATCTCATCCACTGCTACAAACCCAGAGACAAACGCCTTCCATACCTCCAACGACAACTCTTCGACCCTTACGAAAACGTCTTCACGTCCATTGACCTAGTCGATGAGGACATCGACCCTAGAGAGGGGGTAATGTCATAGTTCGGCCACTTTTTCATCTTATCACTGACAATCTTATCTTATCCTTGACATGACTTATCTTATCATGGATCACAGCATCAGACGGTCCGGGCTAGGGGAACAGGGGTTATCCTTATCAATTCAAGGCTGCGCGACATATGCTCTAGAAGGTTCTACTACAACCCATGACCAGCGTTCCATGTGGTACATAGTCTTATGACTCATTAATTGTAGATATGACTCAGACTGAATTTGGGTATAAATACTGTAGCTACTTGGTTGTATTCTCCAGTCTTCGAATTCACTTCTCTTTTCGACATTATCTCTTGTTGATTGTCACAGATAAGGTGATTGATAGCATGATTGTAAAAAAATGATTGAATCATGACATTACCCCCTCTCTAGGGTCAATGTCCTCATCAACAGGGCCAATTGGTGTGAAGACGTTGTTGTAGGGGTCGAAAAGTTGTTAGGGATATGGAAGTTGCTCATCCTTGGGTATGTAGCAATGGATAAGGTAATCCCAGTGTCCAGCTTTGAGCATTGGCAGGAGGCAAATGCGTGTGTCTGGGTTGGATTGTTTCCTCTGCCAATCTCTCAGGACCTTCTTTGCATGGGTTAGATGACATGATGGTTCCCAGGTGTTTTTGCTATGCAGTCATCCCTTCCATTTGACCAAGTATTGTTTCTCTTGGCCGACGTTTTGCTCTTTCATGATCTCTTCAACTTCCTACTCTTCAGCTCCTCCAATCATCTTTGCCACGGGTCTCTTCTCTCGGCGATGGGGGGGTGGTTTGTGATAGGGTGTCAACAGTGACTCATTGAACATTGGGTGTCTCCAGTCCGTATCCAGTAAGTCCAGTTTCCATGCGGCCGCTCCAACCTTCTCCAAAATCTTGTACGGCCCTAATCTCTTGTTGCTCATCTTCTTCGAAGGCCTGTCCATCTCGATATTGTCCCCTTCTATGTACACCTTCATTCCAACCTTCAACTCCGGAACCTCTTTTCTTTGTTTATTGTAGTATTTTTTCATTTTTTTCTTTTGCTTTTTCTAATGCTGTTTTCGCTTCATCTTGTATTTCTTTCATTCTTCCGCCAACTCATTCCTTGATTCCATCCTCTGCTCTACTCCTTTCCATGGGTGATATCCGTTGTTTGCATAAAATGGCAATACTTTGGTGGACGTGTTCATTTTGTCATTATATGCAAACTCCGCTATTCCCAGCCACTCCAACCAATCCGTCTGATGGTAATTGACATAGATGCGGAGATAATGCTCAATTTTCTGATTCATGCATTCCATCTGCCTATCTGTGATCAGGTGGTATGCGGTCCCAGGGTTCATCTCCACTCCCAACATCCAATTTGTTTCCTTCATGAAGCCCTTGATGTACCGTGCGTCCCTGTTGGTGATGATCTTGCGAGGGATCCCGTCATAGCAGAAGATCTGGTCCCGAGTTAGCCATACTACTCCTTCGCTAGTGATGTCAGTACTGATTGGTTCCATGTGAATCATTTTTGTGAGGGTGTCACCCCACACATAAATCACATCATACCCATTGCTGACCGGTAGAGGTCCAATTTGATCCATTGAGATGATTTCCCATAGAGCACTTGGTACCGCATGTGGATGCAGAGTTCCTGTCCTCGCCCTCTTTGTCTTTGTCTGTTAGCACGCCTCGCACGTCTGGATGTATTTTCGGATCTGATTTCCCATCCTTGGCCACCAATAATTCCTTTCCGCCATTTCCTGCGTCCGGTTGATCCCTGCGTGTCCGACAAGAGGCGTGTCATGGTGTAGTCCAATGATCTTGTCTTGTAGCTCCTTGTCCCTTGGTATGTAGAGCTTCCCGTGATACGTGATAAGTTCATCTTCCTTTTTCCATTTGGGGAGAGACTTCTCCAATGCTGCCTTGACACTTCCATCAATTGATTGAATGGCCTTGATCTCATCGGTCAGCTGTTGATCCTGTCCCTCAAATATGACTTCTTGTGATTGGAACAACTCGGGCTTCAACAAGGTGATGTCCTTGTTGTCGTTCTTGCCTTGGTCGTGATCCGCCTGTCGAGATAAAAGATCAGCCTTGCAATTGAGTGCACCTGGTCGGTGTTGTGAGGTGAAATTGAACTCTGCCAACTCCGTGATCCATCGAGCTTGTCATTGGTTGAGCTTCTGCGGTTTCCGGAAGTACTCAAGATTCTGATGATCTGTGAAAATCTCAAATGTTTCAGTGGCTCCCATGAGCAGTTGTCTCAAAACAGACCGTGTTGCCCCTTCCAAAGCATCGGCTTCTAGACAATATTGGCCAGTATCATTTGGCAGTGCTAAGACCGCATCTTCCACGATTCTCTTCTTCAGCCTGTCAAATGCCGCATGCTCATCCGTACCCCATGACCATCCTGCCTTCCCTGTCAACCGTGTTAACAGCTTGGCCACCTCTGCATATCCCCAAACAAAGCGTCAATAGAAGTTTGTGAATCCGAGGAAAGCTGGGACTTGTTTGACACTCTTTGGTGCTGGCCATTCCATCACGCCCTTGATCTTCACAGGGTCCATCTGCATCAAGTTGTGTCCAATGATTACACCCAGATACTTGATCTCTGTGCGTTCAAACTCACACTTTTCTGGCTTCAGGTACAGTTTGTGCTTTTGGAGCAACTCGAGTACCTGTTTGGTGATTTGTCAATGTTCATCTAGATTTTCTGTGAAGATCAGTATATTGTCCGGATAGACCACCACATGTCCCTCGTTGATTAGTTCCTGCAGGATATTGTTCATCATGTTCTGGAACGTTGCTGGCGAGTTTGTCAGTCCAAAGAACATCACCAATGGTTCGTATAGGCCACAATTTGTCCAAAATGCGGCCTTCCATTTGTCCCCTTCTTTGATCCGGACGTTATTGTATCCCCATCGGATGTTCAATTTTGTGAAGAATTTTGCGCCGCACAGCTTGTGAACTAGTTTGAAGATCAGTGGCAATGGGTATCAGTTTCTAATGGTCATTTCATTCAGTTTTCAATAATCTTGGACAGGCCGTAAGGAGCCGTCTTTTTTCTTGACAAAGAAAAACGCCAAGGCCATGGATTTGGATGGTCTGATACATCCACTGGCAAGATTCTCTTTGAGGAACTTGTCCAGCTTGACCTGTTCATTCCGTGACAATGGGTAGACCTTGCAGTCCACTGCCTTGGAACCAGGTTTGAGTTCAATTGCGTGGTCCCATGTGCGTCTGTCTAGCAGCGAGTCGAATGATTCTTTTGCGAACACCTTGATGAATTCCCGGTATTGATCCGGAACCTTCCCCTTGGTCATTCTCTCCCTCTCCTTTTCCGCTTCTTCTGCAAACTTCTGCGCCGGCGTTGCCTTTAGCCGTAGATCAACCTCCTTCCCAAAGTTGACCAATAGGATTGATTCTCCTTCCTCCAACTCCGATGCACACGTGTCCAGGTCAACTGAGTCCATATCTATCATCGCCTGATGCTCCTTGTGACCCCTCATGTTGCACTGTTCCGGACATCGACTGAATTTCATTGTCTGCTTGTGCCAGTCCACCTCGGGGTTATGCTCCATCAACCAATCAAAGCCAATGAAGATCTGTGCTTTTCCCAGGCATGTCAGGAGGAACGGGCATGTTTCCACGTGAGGGCCAATTCTCATCCTCAAATTGACATAGTGTGTGATCTGGCCACTGATGTTCTTGGCGTTGTTAGCGTTACGGGCCATGATGGGTTGGGGGAGTTCCTGGATATCCAATCTTTCTGCCTGCGCATAGTCAGTGTTGATGCAACAGGTACTGCAACTGCTGTCAAGCAGTGCCTTGACTCTGCGCATCCTCCCTGAGTCCAGGCCTGTGATCTGGACATATACGTCCATCGAATGCCTCTTCCTCTCTGCCTCGTAGTTGCGCAACTCCTGCGCCAACCTACTGGGTTGAGGGCCCTTCTGTTTCTTGGCTGCTGATCTTGTCTAAACAGCGTCTGGTACCCTTGTGTGCCTGGGTGCTTCTGGAACCATGATTTCTGTCAATTCCTTATGTGCTTCCTCCTTTTCCAAGGATTGAGCCTCCGGAGCAATGCTCCCCTTTTTGGTCTTTGTTGACGTGGTTCCTTCTCCACGAGCCATAAATACGTAGGAGTCCAAAATTAATTTATCTGCAGCCTTCTGATCCTTTTTACTCTGTAAGTACTCTCTATTTAAAGCTATTTTTCTTTGTCGTTCTTTTTCTATATCGGCAATGAGAAAATCGTGAATATTGGTACATAGTGAGTCCAAGATTGTGTATGTATGTGCAGAATCGTTCATGTCTTTAATCGAAACAAGTACAGAAAATTGTCCATAGTCCGGATGCTCCACCTCCTTGGCTAGAGGAGTGGAGCGCTTCAAAAACCCTTCTCGCGCAGCTTCTCGGCAATCTCCTTGAGGAACTCGTTGTCCTTGTCCCCATTCTCGATCTCTTCTAGCATTGTGGCCCAGTTGAAGAATGTGCACTTCTTCCTTGGCTCTGGACAGTTCCGCGCAATGTGCCCAGGCTGCTGACAGTTGTAGCAGATGATATTGCGGCCGCGGGCGTGGGTGCAATCAATTTCCATCAGAACCGGTTTATTGGCAATGGGTCGGGTCGGTGCAGGTGCAGGCATTGTTGGCGCAGCCTGTGGGCGGAACTGAGGAGGTGGTCGTGGCGTGGGATGTCCGTAAGATGCCTTGCGTAGCTGGTCGCGTAGAGCATTGGCTTCGATGTTGATGCACCAGGCTTTGAACGCCCCATAGGCCTTGGGCAGAGGGACACCAGTGTTGTAGAGACAGCTGGCGATCTTGCTACTGAGTCCGCGCTCCAGGAACTTGATGAGGATATTGTCTTGGTCCCCCTTCTTGTACTCGCCCTTGTTGTTGGTGGTGTCAACTACATTGTATCCTACATCCGCAGCCAATATCTCAAAGTTGGAGATGTAGTCCGCAAAGGACCGTTTGTTTTGGCGCAGGGCCATGAGTCGAGCAGCAGCAACTTGTTCCATATTGGAGTCCCCAAAAGCTCTCTGAAGCTCCTCCAGGAAGTTCTTTGATGTGACCCCTGCCTTCAGCCCCTGGAAGCCATCAAAGTTGTGCTGCTTCCAGTTCATTGCCCATCTTGAGGTGGCGCAGCTCATGCTGGTCTTGTTACGGAGGTAGGAGAGGACGAAGAGGATCTTGGTCTTATCCTGCAAGAACTCTGATCAGTAGGCACCAATGTAGGTGGTGCACGAGTCTACAAAGCCTAGATATTTGGACTTGTCCCCATTGAAGTAAGGAGGGTTGGTGGCGAGGGTGATGCGGTGATGTCCTGACATGGTACAAGCAGGTGTGGTAGGTGGAGGTGAAGGTGGTTGTTTGGAGGGTAACTCGTCAAGGTCGGGGATCTCGTCTTCAGGTGGCGGGAGGGCAAGGTAGGGATTAGAGGTCCCAGGCTGGTTTTGATGCACCAGATCAGGCGACAATGGTAGGTTGAGAGGAGGAGACAGACTCCCAGACAATGATGGGAATTGGAACAAAATGATGAATTCATGTGCTGTACAAGCACTCAAGGAAAGGTTCTTTTGCTAGCAAAAAGATCCCAGGCCTAGCTCTTCATGTGCCCAATGATCCCAAGGTGCGTTTTCCCAAGGGTCTCTGCAGCACTCCTTGTAGCTACCGTAAGGCTTGGGTCGGGCTCAACGTTACCCGTGGCCTGGTGCTGTTTGCTCAATATGAACCCTTCACTGCGATTGCAGAGAACGACTAGATGATTCGGTAAAAGGGTAAGTTGGTTGATAAGGGTTAAGAGGATATAGCAGGCGTAGCGGTGCGGGATGCAGGGTAAGAGGTATGAGGTAGGAGGGTATGAGAGGAGTCTTCGAATTATGTGACAATCAACCCAAAAATAGAGTCGAAAAGAGAAGTGAATTCGAAGACTGGAGAATACAACCAAGTAGCTACAGTATTTATACCCAAATCCAGTCTGAGTCATATCTACAACTAATGAGTCATAGGGCTATGTACCGCATGGAGCACTGGTCATGGGTTGTAGTAGAACCTTCCGGAGCATATGTCGCGCAGCCTTGAATCGATAAGGATAACCCCTGGAACCCCTAGCCCGGACCGTCTGATGCCGTGATCCGTGATAAGATAAGTCGTGCCAAGATAAGATGAGATCGCTGAAGATAAGATGAAAAAGGGCTGAATTATGACAGCGACAGTTCCAATTCCAGTGCAGAGGTTTCGGCAAGATCAGTGGCTGGTGTGCGTTCATCTGCGGAGGCATCCACACCGCCGGAAGCTAGGCAGATTAGCATGAGTGACTGTTGTTTACAATGCGAACTGAGAGAATGCACTGCTGTTCTGAGCCCGAGACGGACCAATGATGCCACCCATGGCATTTCCATTCAATGCCCCTGCCTGGTCTCCACGGGCACCCACCACACTCTCGGTCCTGTGCACTGCTTCAATCTCCACCGAGTCGACGATGATCTCTTCATGGAAGTAGAGGGGATCTTCGTCAGGCGGAGAAGATGAGCGGGTGGGGGGTGAGGAGCGCATAAGGGCCATGCTTGGAGGATGGGTTGATGTGTGTCCCGCGTGTCCGATTTTGGCTTTAATTGTCAGTGACAGTGCCGAGGAGAACAAAAACCCAGGAGACACACTGTTTTCATCATCAAAATGTGCGCTGCCAGAACTGGGGATCCTTCCATCGCTAGCATGATCCAATGGGATGTGAATGGATGAGTCTTCCAAATGGGATTCCACCAGGTCAGAATCCTCGATGTAGCTCAAGAAAGAGAGGGTTTCAATTGGTGGGAGGGTGATCGAGCCGATATCAGGCGTTGAGGCCAGCAAAGGTGACGATACCTCCGAGATGTTTGGGGGGGTATTCATTGGCGATGTTTCGTGATTTCGAGTTCCTAAGCAGGTGGGAATGAAGTTTGAGCAACAGAGACGCGTGAAAGTAACGAGACATACCGCGTTTTGACTACAGAAGACCCAACATGAATGTCTAGAGCAAGCAAAAATTCAGTGAGAACATGATTGAGTATAGTTCCCAGGCTCTTGATCAAAGTGAAACATCCGCAGAGTGGTGTGCGGATGATCTTCGCAATCCGCTGCGGATGAATCAATCATCCGCATGTTGGATATGTCCATTGCGGATGTCTGCAACTACTGAAAACGCCTTGAGCAGATGCATCCGCACGCATTTTACACGTAATGATATCACCAATCAGCCTCGGATCACGTCTTGAGCGCAGCCAATCAAATACATTATAACGGCCGAGTTTCCGGAGATTGCTTCCCATATTTTATGTATCAACTCAGCCCGCCCTAAACTTTCGGAAATGAATGCTGGGGTATGCCCCACCAACATATGATCTACGCAGACCTGGCTGAAAGACATAAAATTCGACGATATCAAGGGTCGGTATGTCCACCCGTGAGTCTACTGGTAACTTACTACTTATCACCATAATTGCCAATCGGTCAGTATCCCATTGACCTTGCCCTTGAATAAAATGAATGAATGAGTTGGGAGAGCAGTCCTAAGCACCTGAAGAAGTCTAAGTGCATGTGGTAGTCATTGCTTGAATGTTTCTCTTGAGTTGTGAACAGAAACTGAAATTGTTACTTGAGTACTTAAAGTGTCCAGGGTGCCGTATCAACACTTAAAAAGCATTCAGTCTACAAAACGACATACTCGACTGTCGCCTTCCTGTCTTACTTCAGGAAATTGCTGTCGCAACTGGGGTAATTAACATGGAGGTAACAAAGTACAGATATGTTCCGAAATAATGTGACGGACAGTGCCCATGGTATGCTCTATCATAGAGGGCATATCAAACCCATGTAGCACAGCACCAATGACAGAAAGGATCCATACCCCACAGTCATAGTTGTTTGTTTGAAGTAGGTGACCAGGCACAAAGAGTGGATGTGCAGTCCAGTCATCTGTATGGACATCGAGAGCATGCCCATGCCTATTAGCGAGAACAATCATTCTGGTGATCAGTGTCATGAATTCCTTTCGAAATCGTGAACATAGCAATAGCAGAAAGTGAAGGACGAACCTTGAGTTCTTTGTGGAACCCTCTGCGCGACGCAAGACTGTCGAAGAAGTGTATCTTATGATCTGACATGCATGCGACGGCCAGAACCCAATGCTGCTGAGTCGCCCTGTGTATTGGAAGGATCCACAGGTCTCGTTCTCAATACTGCATTGATTCCAGTTCTGACCACAGGAAGTCATCTGAACATTCAGAACGAATGCGCGGTAGTTCATAGGTGCTCAGAAGAGCACATCAACAAGCAGCAAGGTGATGAGGGCTGTGCACATGCAAAAACAAAGCCTGGAAAGAGGCCGCAACACCGTTGATGCACTGCCCACTCAGCAATCCATGATGGTCTATAATCCGGGCTAGATCAGCTGGCTCAATTATGATATTAGGGAGGGAGCCTCCCCGAACAATAATGTGTGAGAGCTGTGCTGAAGACTTCGACAAGCGGTTGTTCCTTGCCTGCAGTTCAGAGAACAGGCCAAGGTCATATTTGAGCTCTATCTGAGTGCGAAAGCCCAGAGAAGTGAGTGGAAATCTCTCTCGTATGAGGGGAAATGAGCGACGAACTAGGGGAAGGTCCCATCTGATGTGGATTTGTACTGAGCCCTCATCCGGTATTGTTGTATCGTCACTCTCAGTCACATTCAACACTTCCAAGGCAAGATTGATATCCTCTATGTCTGTAAATCCATCAAGGACTTCGTCCTCGACGTCTTCGAGAGACGTTGGCAAATGGAGATATGCTGATGGAGCAGATGGAGCCACTTGCATGTTGCCCTGGCTCTGTGCGGATGCATCAGTGAGGAAAGGATTGTCTGCTGATGCATCTGCTTCAACGACTGGCAGAGGTGCGGATGCGTTGGCACGATGGTGTTGTGAGAAAAGATTGCTTGCTGATGCCTTTGCACGATCGCTGAGAGTGATCTGGCCGCCGCTGGATGTGTGCATCGTGTAGTTTTTGAAAGAAGGTTGCCAGTGCTCGGTTAGAAGCAGAATTTGATCCATATGGACGTTGAGTAGGTAGATCAGTGTGGGGTCTGCAACAGTTTAAGCAGATAGAATGGCAGAAATCTGGGACAGGTACCTTTGGTAGTGTGGAGGCACTGGTGGCAAATCAACCGCTCTTCTTCCAGTACATTTTGGAGGTTCTCCCTCTCAAGATTCAGTCGTGCGAGTTCCTCTCGACACCGGTCCAGACTGTGCATACTCTGAATCCCATCCCTGACATCAGAGTCATCAAGCCACCGCGGGATCTTGTTCCCCGTGGGTAGAACGCAGACATCCTCAAAGAGAGATTGATCCGCTTTGAGCACCGATAACTTTGTTGAGAGCTGGGTTGGGAGAGGAAGCAGGGAGTGGGGTGGCATCTCATTCTCCAGTCGTTCACAGAGGCTATTGAGCCGGTTTATCAGGCGGTAAAGTACCAACACATCTGCCTGATCACTCAGGGCTGAATGGGAGTCCTCAAGTTCATCCAGATACACAAGAAGCTCGGCTGAGGGTCCGCCAGACATGATGGTCGTTTTTGTGTCGTCAATGGTGGCCTTGAGTGTCTGAATCTGATTTTGCAGTGAAATGACCTTATCTAGCTCCTTTCGAAAGTGCGGGGATACTTCTGGAGTTCTTTGAGCAATCATCCAAACACACTGCGGGCAACCAACCAATCCACGGAGCCATCCGCGCAGCCTTCTGTTCACTCCATTGTGTTCAAAGCTCAGAGTCGGAGATACGGCAGTCCTGGAGAACTCTGATGGCATTTTGCAGCTTGGGAAGAAGATTCTTGTTTTGTTGTTGATCTAGCCAGTGGCCCAGGCCTTCCAAACCTTCTGAATTAATGAACTCGGTGTGTCCATCCAGAATCCATAGGCGCCATGAGCTCTGTGCTATGGATGAAAGGAATATCCCCACAGTGAAGTAATTCGCGCACCCATTGTGTTTGAGTCATGCCAATCAGCTTTCGCATTTGAGACCAGAACCTCTCAACCCCTTCCATATCAGATAGACCCATCCCTGTGAAGAATCGGGGACTGTAGACGAGTTGACAATCCCATTCATGCACAAATGAGTGCATTATATTGATGACAAATGCAACACGCTGGTGCAGAGATGGTGGAAGAAGCGGGTACTGTTGATATTGTCAAGATAGTTTCAAAAAAGGATCATCCGCTGAGAAAGAGTTTGTTGGGGATGCATCCGCAGCATTGACACTTCTCGGCAGATGTATCCGCGACGCAAATCATTCACAAACTGAGGATGAAGAAAAAGAATAGAAAGCACACACCAGGTGACAGGAATGATCCACTACGCATCCCACATCATATGCCTGGACAATTGTGGCATTTCTAGGAAGGAATGATGCCACTTTATCCAAAAGCGCAATGATATAGCATTGCTGCTCCCCAGGGGTGTCAATATTGGCAAGAAATATAACTTGTGAGTGCCGGCAGGTCATGACAAAGACCCCGGTTGAGTCGTAGTGGTCAGGATCAGCCTTCTCCTTTTTCTCTTTGGCTGCCTGAAATGATTCCTGACAGGCTTCTATCACTTGTAGAGACACCGAAGAGGTGTTTCTGTGTGGCTTTCGGCTCCGTGCGGTCAAGATTTGTTGACGAACAGAATCAACTTCAGCCTTGGAGACAAAGTAGGCTGGCGAAAATGGAAGCTCGGGCCCATCTCCTGCAGAACGGAGATGGCGGAGACTCCAGTTGCCATCTGCACCCATCTGTATATCACCACCTCTGGGATTCATGTCAAGGGATGAATGAAAAGAGGGAAGGAGTGACTCAATGTTCAAGTGGCCGACCCCAAGTGGTCAAGCCAAAACAGGCTGGACATCTCTCCCGCAGAGTACGGGCTGCACGTTGAGGTGCTGGAGACTTGAGCTTCTCCTGAGAAGGCTGGTTTGGAATTGAAGATGCGATGTGATCACTTGCGGATGAGTCTGCGACGAAAGGTGATGGTGCAGATGCATCAGCAGTAAGCACCTCAGCAGTTGCGGATGCCACCGCGGCGGCATCTGCAAGCTTTGGAAATGAGTCTGAGCCATGAGACGCTAACACAAGCATATTCTCCATATCTTGAAGGAAAGAATCAAGCCTTCTCTTGAGTCTGAGACGAAGCAGAGAAGACCATTGAATAGCTTGTGTAAGAGCAGAGCGAAATGGATCATCTGCCTGGGTCAAGGTAATCTGCCAGAAGGCACTGTTAGCCTTCACAGAATGGCCAAATTGAATGAAAGTGTACACTCTGAGACAGAACCGGAAAGCCCCTGCGTCGATAGACAGTGCAAAGCGCAGCTGCCAAAGCAGTCACAGCATCCCCAGAACGCTCAAAGTATGCTTGGTATGAATCAAGCACTTTGAGAGATACCCCGGTGCGAGGATGACATGGCGAGCCTGGGAAGACACCATTTTGAAGCAGGAGAACTGGTACAGACATGCACTTGCAAGTGGAGATTTCCACCTGGAAGAAGTCTAAGCTTTTGGTGAGCATGTGCGTATAACGAGCAAAACTGTAAACTGACGCGTGGGGTAAAGGCATCGAACCTTCGCGCTAACACTATTAACCGCACATGAGGCTCATATGTGTGTGATGCTCGATGGAATGTCGGTCCTTGGTTTTCCATAGTAGAGCTCGCAAAATTTGGTGTATGGGCCTTCTAGGAGAGGGAGCAGGGCTTGCCAATTCAAGGTGTTCTGCTCAGAGCGTGTACGCGCCAGAACTGAGGGGTCAGGCGTGCGCAAAGAGTGATATGAGAGATCAGGGCCTTCGTCGAATTGATCCTGGCTAGCAGGAGGCATCTCCGAATTGATGGATGGGGGAACGGATGCCTCCACATATGTGGCGGGGTAGGTTGATGCTCCGTGGGTGCCAGATGGACCAGGGCCCTGGTGAGGGGAGCAGTAAAAAATGTCCTCATCTTCTGCTTGGCGACCGGGGTAGCCCAGCAATTCGGCCAGTTGCGGGTCCAGAGCAGTTGCCAGCTGCGACTGGGACGGTTTGATCTTGATTTTTTGTTTTCCTTCAGCTCGTTTAATGGGACTGGTGGACATGCGTCCACCAAAATCATGTCCCCTACCAGGCCGACCTGTCTGCTTCATGGGAAGGAGATGAGAAAGAAGAATTTGATGGTGACATATAGATGCCGCGATGCATCCACGGTCAATGTTTCTGGGCTGCCGTGGACGCGTGAGGTCCCGGCGCACGTGCGCTGATGTTTCAGGGTGTGTGAAACCAGGGGGGACAGGCCAAGAAGCCCAATACCCAGCCAGGTGCACTGCGATCCGTGCTGGCTCTGCCTACCGGACTGCAGATGCATCCGAGGTCGATGTTTCTGGGCTGCCGTGCACGTGTTAGGTGCCTATCGCTTATTCTGAAAGGCTTAAGAGTGTCTGGGGACCTCTATCTCCATCTTGAACACTTGCATCAAGCATCTGAGCGATCATTCCAATAATTCAGATTTTGTGCAGATCATCTGCGCAGAATTGGTCCTGCTACCATTCTGTGTATGCTGCACACACAGGAGTCGGAGGCCACTGAAATCAATTGGGAATCGGATACATTCACATACATCTACGACAGAATGCTCATGGCAACAGCAGAGCAACGCATGCAGGGCAGGATTGTACAGGCTGTGAGCGCGGGGAGTGCGGAGGTTGCTCGCTTGATTGCAGTCACATGATGTGGATCGCGGATGACCTGGGTGATGGCATCACAAGGATCTTGGGGTAAGCTGGGAGCAGATGGATCCGCCGCTGCTTATAGGGCAAGATGCGGATGCTTGGCGCCCATTTGCAGAGCTTTGGTGCGGAGGATCACCTCAGATGCGGAGGGTACCCCCCCTACTAGGGGGTCAAAATGGGTCAATTTTACCCCCCTAGGAGGGGGGGGTACCCTCCGCGGCAGATGTTCCTTAGGTGTCCCTTTGAAAAGTGGGGCATGCTTCAGTCAGGATATAGGCAATGCCTTGAGACTTGAGGAAGGCAGTCAAGAGACTGGCCTACAAGGTCCAGTTCTTGCCATCAAAGATAGTGACAGAAGCCAGAAGAGAGTTGGACATGTTAGATCTGTGTGAGTGGTTAGCATCAATTTAATCTCATAGATAAAATCAAAGATCAAGATGATCAGATTCTCATAGATCATAATGTCCTTCAGAGATCAATGTATCTGGATCAAGCAATGTATGTGACAATCAACCCAAAAACAAAGTCGAAAAGAGAAGTGAATTCGAAGACTGGAGAATACAACCAAATAGCTACAGTATTTAATACCCAAATCCAGTCTGAGTCATATCTACAACTAATGAGTCATAGGGCTATGTACCGCATGGAGCACTGGTCATGGGTTGTAGTAGAACCTTCCAGAGCATATGTCGCGCAGCCTCGAATCGATAGAGATAACCCCTGGAACCCCTAGCCCGGACCGTCTGATGCCGTGATCTGTGATAAGATAAGTCGTGCCAAGATAAGATAAGATCGTCGATGATAAGATGAAAAAGAGTCGAATTATGACAATGTAATCACGATCCAGCATGGTTTCACCAGTGCTAAGCAGCAGCTGAAGTGAATACAGATAGGCTAAAGATGCTGCTCATCATTGCAGCCAGTGACAGCGCATACAATGAATGTCATGGCCACTGAGGCGCAGACATAGCTCTCAGGGCCCATAACCTGTTGAGCACCAGGGAGAACGTTTACCAGCTCACCTATGTGAGTGAGAGCTTAGTGTGGGCACTATGCAGGAGTAGTCAGACTTGTATTAAAGGGTAATAGAGCCCTCCTTATATATGATACAGGGGCACTATTTGTGTCTATTGATATGAGTTGGCGTAACTCTAGATAACATGTGATGGAGTCATATGATGTGTCCTGTGACATCCATCTAACAGATAATAATTGATCAACACCTGCTGAACTACTATTGATCGCAACTGACAGGTGTTTTGTGATAATCAACCCAAAAGTGGCCAAACTATGACATGTTTGTGCACTACAGAGGTGTTTTCAGTCTGTAGAGCCAAATAATGCATGTATCACCTTCGGGTTTTTTTGTAGTGGATCCTTACATGCTGTAAAATGTCTGTGCCAAGTCCGAGAGCAATTGGGAAAGTGCAAAGAATTCCTCAATGCTGCCGGCACATCAAATGGGGTGTTCTCAGGCTCACCTCTGTAATTCCAAGCTTCCTGTTGGTTGTTTCAGGCCAGGTAAAGACGAGCCATGTATTATTGATTATCTTAATTGTATTCAATACACTCTTTACTGTTCCAGGCTTGCAACGGATGTGAGCAAGAGTGATCAGCCAAAGTGTGACATTTCAGGCTCCGTGCTTCAAATGTGTTGATTGACAGCCACGTGCGTCTGCATCACGTTGACAAACTTGCTTCCTTGACTCTGATCAGTTGTGCATGCCTTGTGCTGGCCATGCGGCCATCACACTGTCATCACTGTGTCAGTGTGACAATTGTGACCACACATGTAATTCCTTTTGCTCACATCCGTTGCAAGCCTGGAACAGTAAAGAGTGTATTGAATACAATTAAGATAATCAATAATACATGGCTCATCTTTACCTGGCCTGAAACAACCAACAGGAAGCTTGGAATTACAGAGGTGAGCCTGAGAACACCCCATTTGATGTGCCGGCAGCATTGAGGAATTCTTTGCACTTTCCCAATTGCTCTCGGACTTGGCACAGACATTTTACAGCATGTAAGGATCCACTACAAAAAAACCCGAAGGTGATACATGCATTATTTGGCTCTACAGACTGAAAACACCTCTGTAGTGCACAAACACCTGTCAGTTACGATCAATAGTAGTGTCAGTGCTTTGAGGGGGTGGTTTGATGGCCTCCAGAGGGGGCCTCGAAGCCCATTTATGTAATGAAATGAATTGGAGCTCCCTGGAGTGTCTCTACTCTCCAGTCACCATGCTCCGCTCTCCAGCCTTAGCCCTTCTTCCCTTATGCAGCACATCCCAAGAAGTCGGAAAAAATGTCTTAACGAGAAAACCCAATTTCTGTAAGTACCGGTAACAGGTGGTAAGACCAGCAGCTGTCACCGTAAGGACTAGATTCGACTCTAGTCTCCATATACCCTGAAGAACGTCGCAGAATACTCATCTGTGCAAAGCGTCACACTACCTGTCCTGGGCACTTCCACTCAGGAAGCTCAGAAAGTTATGGCAGCATGTCAATAATTCGTCAGGTGGTACAAGTACGCATACGTGAAAATGGATTGTAAGCATAGGTCTGTCGGAGGACATGCGTTCTGGTGAACCACGAAGAAGACAGGACGCCTACTTCAGTTTCTTCTTCCTAAACAACAACTCAATACACAATGACAGGCATAGCGATAATGAAGAACGTACGGGCGGAGCTGGCTGCTGTGGCCACATCCCCGCTTGCGGCAGTTAGTCGCACGGGGTGGAAGACGGGCGTAGCATTTGCGGCAAATTTGTTTGTCGCAGTTGTACTTCCCGGCCAGAACTTTGAGCGAAGGCTCGATGATACCGCCTCTCAGACGCAGCACGAGGTGGAGAGTGCTCTCTTTTTGGATGTTGTAGTCGCTGAGAGTGCGGCCATCCTCCAGTTGTTTGCCAGCAAAGATCAGGCGCTGTTGATCAGGTGGAATGCTGGTGGGAAAGAGTTGAAGAGAAGTCGATAGGGCTTGGGTATGCGACGCACCCCTCCTTGTCCTGGATCTTCGCCTTTACATTGTCGATAGTGTCCGAGGACTCGACCTCGAGGGTGATCGTCTTCCCAGTGAGGGTTTTGACGAAGATCTGCATCGACGGTCTGAGTTGTGCGTAAGGAAGCCGGAAAACAATGAGAGAGACGCTCCACAGACTGTATGCAGGTGAAAAAGGTATTGGTGTTCAGGAGTGGGAATGTTCCACGTGACTGTATAGCCCTATCATTCATTGTTTGCGATTTATTTACATTTTAGTCGCTTGATTATATGCGTGTATGCTATTTCTTTCTTCTGCGTCTTCCCGCTCTCCATCCCTAATCCGATGACAGTATCTCAGAATGCAGAATGTGCGACTGTAGCTACTGTAAGGCCATAGGTGAAGAGTGCAGACCCAAAACCTCAAGGGTGACTAAGCGGCATGGAACATAACCCGTGCTTCAGTGACATTAGGAAAGTGTGACGCCACAGGGCACGTGCCAGTCGCGTTTGTTGACGTTGACCCCTTTCCAGTTCTGCTGCTGACCACATTGAATTACTACGACCAACCAAGTGGTCGCCCATAACTTCATGGCTCCAATCCTTTTCTCTGGTGCTCTTCCGCCCAAGAAAAAGTCTGAATTGCAGCAAATTGCTACCGCCCTCCAGATAGACACCAGCGGCACTAAGGACGACCTTCAATCGCGCATCAAGCGCCATCTTGACGCCAATCAAGGAGATCTCGAGGATGACCCCATATTCTCGGGCCTATTTGGCGGTAGAAGACGGCGCAGTGTTCCGTGAGTCCTGTTTGCTGTTTGCAATAGTTCCGGATTCTATGTTACCAGGCGTGCCGAACCGTCTGTTCGGAAACTCACTATCATGAATCCAATCCGCGAGTCCACGCCTGTCGACAGACGTGATGTTTCTGCCTACCTCAAAGCGGACCCGTTCTCGCCTAACACACCAAGCAGTCTACCTCACCTTCCCGATAGCCCCGATCAAGGTCGGGAAGTCCACATAGTTGACAAGAGTATCGGACCCTTCCCACCTCGCTCAGATTTCGTTCAAGGCGCCGAACGCATCAAGCTGGGCGAAGAACATGCTCTACGCTCCGCGAATGAAGGGATACTGTCCTTGCGCACTGTGAGTGCTACTCCTACCAGTCAATGCATGAGATGCCACGATTGACGCTTCTCATCAGTTTCTGTCCGACTCAAAAAATATATGGACCCTAACAGTTGTCGCCGAGTTCTTGTATATTGTTCAATCTGTAACGATATGGCAGACTTTCGAGGTGCGTCTACTGGTATATGACCTGAACCTCAAGGTCATTGACGGGCTTCCAGGTCAAAATCGGAGCAACTACATCATCTATCTTCTATCCGGATTCTATCACCGTATCTCAACCTTGTTTTTGGCCGACCCTCGCGATCTGGTTCTTCCAAACCTTATTCATTCCAGCTCTGGTTGGCACACTCATATCGTTCTCGCCCGCTGTTCCATCGGCAACCTTGACTAGCCCCGCCCCGTTTGACCCACTGACGGCTTCCATTGTTCGCCTGGCGATGCAGTTTTTGCTCGATCCAAGCGCTACAGGACTTGCGGGTGCGCAGGATCCTCTCGGCGTCCGTTTGCGGGTCACCGCAGCTGCAGTCGGGGTCGCATTTGCCTTCGCCGAATCAATCAAGAATGCACCTGTCATTTGGGCCAATGACCACTTGAAGCCGTCGGCTGTGTCAGATTCTCAGACAATGCTCCCCCAGGTCTTGACCGCCGAGGATACGGTCGTTCGATTGGAATGAACCACATCTGCTTTCATTTGCTTTCGTATCATTATTTCCCCTCAACTCGAGCTCGATTCGTCGCTTCTTTATATCATTGTATGACCGCTGTAAGATGATGTACTTTCTTGGATCAAGAAGGCTGTGTCGTATCCATGTGTGTCTCTGTTGTCCAGTATCTGTACCAACAATCACATTCGTCTCCTCTTTCTACCACTTCCTCTGGCAGGCTTTTCTCGTCTTCTCTCGTTCTGTTTGACGCTATGTTCTCCAATCTCATTTCCGCCGCTCTGATCACAGTCCTCGCTGGCCGAGGTAGGCCCGAGACTGTCGATTCTTGGCTGTTGGACTAACTTCAAACAGCTATGGCATTCAACGTCTCCATCCTTCCCTCCAACACCGTCTACCAAGCCAGCGAAGTATTGAGCCTCACTTACACTCCAGTTCTCGCTAGCGTGCGTCCCTTGCTTTCTCGTTCATATTGTGTATCAACGTTCGAAACCAGTGCCAAACACAATGTGCCGCGGCACAGGCAACGATCAACGCCTGCGCAGTCACCGATTCGGCTTGTCTTTGCAGCAACGGGACGACGATTCCTCTCCAAGAATGCGAGACTTGCATGTTCAACGCGATCGTTGCCGCTAATGTGCCTGCCCCGGACTTGCGCGCTGGCTCGAACCAGGTTCTTGCTGGCTGGACCGCCAACTGCGCCGCTGCCAAGTTAACCGTCACGCCTGCCCTAGGATTGACTGTCCCCCCGACCTGGGATGGTCCTTTTGTCTCGGTTTTCCCCACTATTGGCGGTTGGTTGGTTGCTGTCACTGGTGGCGTGCTTGGCTCGTCTTTGATCTTCATGCTCTGCAATATGTGAGAGCTGTTGGCGGAATTGTATCCGGGGGGTGCGGGCGACCAGCTTCATAGATGTCTGTTTATTTGGTTATCATCAGTCATATGTATGTGCGATGGTAACGGCGTTGATTGATTGTCCAATGTCTTTCAATGACATTCTGGTTGATGTCTCGTTGCCGATGATAATCGAACCCAGCATACAACGCGTGAGCACTGCCGAGCAGACGAACGATTGAAGAAGAATGTCATAAATCCACAGCCTGTACCATAATATATCACAAGACCGATGACCAGATTCACCCAGGGATCCCTGATTCGCTCCGAAGACTTTCTCGTACTCGCTGCATGAGCAAGCCTAACTGATTTAATCCTTGTCCATCCAGACCCTCTCCCCAGAATGTGTCGGCTCCACCGGCATAGACCAGCGGTAAGGTACCCGTCCTTAGCAATAGATCGAGAAGATTAGCGTGCAGCTGGAACTTTCTCCTGACGGCATCTTCCATCTGAGAGAAGATCCAGCATAGGCAGGTATCATTAGTTGGTTTTAGCTCACCGCTTGCAGAAAAACTACGCTCCAATCAGATCGCACTGCGTGTGGGTGGGTCGCGGTGAGTTCATTATCCACATCATGTAGTTGGGTCACATCTGAACAGGCCTGGATGCGTTTCGCCAGCTGAGGATACAGCGGAAGGAATTTCTGGGCTTCGTACAGATGCATGACCGTAGGATATCTGGACCCATCAGCATCGATCACATGATGAGGCGAATAGCTGAGAAAGCCCAGAAACTCTGGGTTTTCATTCGGAAAGCGGATTACGGTATCAGGAGCCGCCGTCGGCAGCAGACCCGGGGCAGCTGTTTGAGCCGAATGCGGTGTTGCCAGAGGCTGAAGAAGAGCTGGTGTCGCCCTGTGTTGCGCAGGCTGTGGCATCGTTGTCTGGGCCGGAGCAGCCTGCATAAACACGGGAACAAGCTGAATCTGATCCTCTTTCCTCCGCCCCATCATCGCCCTCAAGATCCCCCCGGCCCGGCCACCGTTGCGACGGCCATAGCTCCCGTTTGCGGGCATAGATATCGGACTTTGCTGGCTGTGAGTCGTGGTGAACAACGCTCGTGTATGAGGGAGATCCAGAAGCGTGTTGTACGGGGACAATTCGTACAGGTCACGCGGGGGTGTTGGCAAGGGATTGTCAAGCAGCCGAAAAGTAGGCTGGGAAGGAGGTCCATAGACCTCCGGATTTGCAGGGGGCAGCGGTTCCAATACACGTGCCATGTCTGGTCCGACTGCCGCTAGTGTCGGCTGCGAGACTGCAGCTGGATCTGGTGCAATTGAATTCACGGGTGCTGCAAATTCTGGCTGCGCTTGGGGCATCAAGGTCGAAGCTGCGTTATCAGGCGCAGAGGTACCCTAGACATAGATGAGTTCGAGATCCAACCTGTCCGAACCGCGTACCGTAGGTTGGCTCACGGGTGGGACCAGCTGAGGTTCTGCTCTAGTCCGTCTATGTTCTATAAGTCATTCGGATGGATAACATACGTATTCCCGGTATCCCTCCGTTTCCAATATGCCATCCCTCCACAAAAGCCCGTGCATTACCCTCTCGTCGTGACTCCTTGCGATTCCTTTTTCTTTTCTTCTTGCTGTTTGGAGGAACGTTGGGGTGGAAGTGGGCGTTGACATACGCGTTGGGATTGTGTCCGTATGGAACATGAATAGCAGGATTCACGAGAGGGTATGCCCGAGTGCGCGATTTAGAAGACGACGAACCCATTTTGTTATGCCAGCCACGAGGCAAGCACGAGCAACCAAGATTGGTTGACGTACAGATGAAATAAGCCGCCTCGAAATGGGCCCACCAGACCTACTTCTAATGCAACAATCTGCGTGGAAGAGGAGAAGCTTGGATTCAAACATACTGCCTAAAGGAGATCCGCAGACTTATGATAGTGACAGATACGAAACGCGTGCGGTCACGTTCAAAAGGCATGCCTATGTAGGTAAGGGATCTGACGGAACACCCCTCAGGCAGCCCTCCTCTGCTCTTCTTCGATAGCTGGCGGGCCATCCCTCTCGACATTGAACTGATACATGGGGAAATCAAATAGAACGGTCTTCTTGGCGAAAGCAGGCAACCGTTTGTAGAGCGACGGTGGCACCGGGACCAGTATAGAGGTCCGTTCGAGATATCTCTGGTAGTTGTCCCAGATCTGAGTATCCCCAGGCCCTGCCGAAGAGCCGTAGGCTTTCAAATAGAATCGCCGAGCTTGAGGCTTTGCAGAGCTTGGCAAACCAGAGCCGAACATCAGCACTCTGTCCGCAAACCTCAGTGTGTGAATGCATGTACGAAAGAACGGCACTGACACGAATGTGAACAAGGGCGAAAGAACAGCAGCATTTTGTGCAGCTCTAGATGGGGTGGACAGCGTCCCATTCGTGGTTGGTGACAAACAGAGAATCCACATTCCCCACCAGCACATCATCCTGACGAGCTGTTAGCCTGTTCAGTAGTGGCAAGACCGCAACTGACTCTCCAAAGTACGGAGGATGACGAGACCATGCCCAGAGACCGCTCTACTCAGAGATCAGGTCACAACTTGACACGGCAACGGCGACCTCACATTCATGGGCCTGTCTTTAGGAGCGGCTTGAGATGATTTGAACCGATACTAGGTAACGTGAGCAGTCAATCCAATTAATGGCCGATTCAATGACAAAACCTTTTGCACATCAGCTACTGCTTCAATAATGAATCCCAGCGACCATATTATGACGCCAGCAACATCACGAGAAGTTCCGAACGGGGGATTAGATCCGCCATGCGCTGTATCCGATATTGCTGGGGAATTAAGGATGACGAATGGAAGCGAGACGGTCCAAACCTGGATATCAGGTTTGCCGTGGAAAGGATAGAAGTGAAAGCAACTTGCCCAAATGATCTGTGCTGAGTCCCCTCAATATGAGTTCTGCTCTTTTTTGAGGGAAGATATGCTCACCGATCCAAAACACTGTTCATGATCAGATCTGCTCCCGATCCGTTTCTCCGAGACATACCCAAGAACTTGAAGAAATGTCGACGTATTTCATCGAAACGTCCGTCATGGCCCGTCATCAACACACGGAAGAACAGGAATCCTACTCCAAGTCAGCATGACCCAGTGATTTCCGCACAAGGAGCTGACCGGCGAGTCTGGCTGCCCAAACCATAGCCAGTCTGTGCCAAACCGCCAGGACGTCAGGACGAAGCGCAGCGTCAGGTGCTGAGTAACGCACACACTAGCGACGACATTTCTTGCGTGGAAGGTGTGACCGCAAAGTAAGGTGAGAAGGGCTACCGGCATACTAATATGATGAATGGCGGGTTCATCATCCCCAGTGCGCACTTGCCTAGAAGAAAGAAATTGGATCCCTATCGAGGAATGAGCAGACCGCTCAAGCGCTGTGCAAGGACAGCGTACCCCAGTAAGGTCCGTGATTTTGTCGAACTGGAAAGTGTAGGCAATAGCGAAGCCCAGGAGTTGATAGCCAGTCGTGACGAGGAGGGTGAATGCAAGGTAGTAGCGGTCAAGCGCGTGTTGCGGCATCGGTGGAGGGAAGAAGAAATTGAGGAGCGCAGCTCCTGTTCAAGTAAATATTTCGAGCTCAGACCTCGATGGAGGGGCGCAATCGTAATGATTCGTTGTTGTCGAGCGCAAACATCGATGACGCCACACTGGCAAGAGATCGAGGATAGCGACATCAGTGGCTGTGACTCCCGTCTAAATTTCTTCGTCTTTGGCCGCGCACCTCTACGTAGCTGGACCTGGGAATATCCAGTGGAGATATCCTAGATCACTGACACATTATTGCTGGCTTCGGTTTCTTAAAACGAGTCTCTGCAGGTAGTGATATTGCCGTCGGGCACCGTTGCTGATATGAGGCTCAAAATTCACTCTCTGAGCCCAACACCACTCAAAGTCTGGTTCTCACTTTCTTCTGACGAATGCGACGAATGCGCCACCATCGCAGATCTCAAAATCATTCTTGGTGCGAAAGTCTTCGAGCTCGACCCGGAGTCAAGCTGCTCCTTGGGTATATGGTTGGACGGATTCCAATTGCTGGATTCGAGCGTATTCTCGGAAGCTCTCAGAGACGGAGATCTTGTCATTGTGCGAGCAGGTGCGCATGTCTGGAACTGCCTCCACGTTCTCTTAGACTTATGGCGATAAAGGAGCTCAAAAGTCTGCGAAGAAACGAAAACGCAGCCCCAGTCCTCCGCATATCGCCTCCATAGCCCGACAGCAGAGGTCTCCCGTTTCCTTTGCAACGGGTACCTCTATCGAAACCTCCTCCTCCTCCTCCTCCTCCTCCTCCTCCTCCTCTTCTTCTTCATCCTCGTCCTTGGATTCCGAGACTGAGTCCGATTCCGATTCCGACTCACCCACCGCGTCGTCGTCTTCAGTACAACCTGTTGCCCATATCCCAACTCCACTCGTGTCGTCGACGGAGTCAGCATTACATAGGCACATTGTCCCGCCTGGTAAAGGGAAACCCGCCACCCGGTCACGAAATGCGCGAAGGCGATTAAAGAAGGCCGCGATAGCTGGGCAACCAGACTTTCTTTCCACTGCCAACTCTACTTTTGCGCTACCGAAGACAGGAAAAAATCACAGCACTATCGAAGAAAACGAACAGTGTGGTGATATCCATGGGCCCGGGTCCTCTGTCGCATCTGTATCATATCATGTGTTAGAGGGCAGCGAGCAGGTCGGTGCTCTCGAATCGGGTATCATCGCTGGGCGAGTGGCTCCATCTCAGTCCACGGCATCGGAGCAAACCTTGACCGTCCAGATGATGTCCATGATTCCCAAGTCCAAGAACAAGAACAAGAGCAGGCGCATCCCAGAGGGGGTTGACCCTCGCAAGATGAAGATAGTTTTTGGCTCGCCGCCACCCGAGGAAGCGCAGCCACAAGTGCAGCGGCCTGTGCTGATTCCTCCTTCGTCACTGGCCCCCGAATCCATCCCTTCCAATGCATTCATTACTTCGATTGACGTTGAGGAGGGTATGCATCGGCCGAAGAAATCTCGCCGGAAGATGCAAAGCGAGCTAATCGCTCTCGACCACGGGGAGGAAGAAGGAGAGCCTCAGCAACCGAAGCTGTATGCTCCCTTTTTCGACCTCGACAGTGCCCCCCTCATCCAGACCAAAGACCAGCTTGTAGCGGGAGCAATGATTGGGTTCTTGGTATGTGGCCATGCCAAGCCCTCCCCCGCGCTCTAATTCGCCGAGCAGGGCTTGTACATGGAGCCTCGGACGTTCAGTCCCCGGAACGGCAAACGTTACGCGCGAGTTTTGGGTTGCACAGATGTCGCAGTCACCATGGTTCTCTTGTTCGAGGGAGAAAATGGCGAAGACGAGAGCGAAAATGCAGAGGAAGTAGAATGGCAGGACATCATCGGTGTCTGGAAACTTCTCTAGTTGTGGTCCTTGTGTACAGTACAAATTCGAGGTTTGCGATAATTCTAATCCTGGCTCCATTCTCGTGACCGTGAATTTTTGTTGCTGTGTGTTTTGTTGGCTACTCTATCGACATCGCCCACCATGGTCAGCTCAACGTTCCTCTTACGCCTCTCCCCGCTCATGCGCTATCTAGCCTCCACCCAAATCCAAGGGCGGCAAAATGCTAGGTCTCATAAATTGGCGCTTGAAGGTCACGATCAACGATGGCCGTACTCTAACGGGACAGATGCTCGCCTTTGATCGTCATATGAACCTCGTATTGGCGGACTGCGAAGAGTTTCGCCGTATCCGCCCCAAGAAAAAACAAGGAGAGGAGACGCCTCCAGAGCAGGTGTTGAAACGCACCTTGGGTCTTGTGATCCTTCGAGGCGAGACCGTAGTGAGCATGAGTGTCGAGGGTCCTCCTCCTGTTGTGGAGGACGATAAAAAGAACGCGGTACGTTTCCGCTCACTCTTGCCCGGTCATATGTATCTGAAGATTTGAATCCAGCTGCCCGCTGGTCCTGGTCGGGGTATGCCAGCTGGGCGGGGCATGGGCATGATGCCACCCAGTCAGTTTTTACGTACTGGATGCCCTCTCACAATGCTGATCGATCGTCGCAGTGGGGATGCCCCCGGCAGGACGTGGCATGCCGTTCCCGCCTCCAGGAATGCCTGGTCCTCCTCCGTATGTCCATCCGTGATTTCAAATCATGCTCAAAACTGATTGATACATATACGCAGTGGGTTTAGACCTCCAGGTTTCCCGTCAGGAATGCCATTTGCTCCTCCTCCCGGGTTTGCTGGTCCCCCTCCAGGGTAATCGGTGGAAGTCTTATGCAACAATTTCTGATGATGTTCTAGATTCCAGCCTCCACCTCAATAATGTCCTCCGTTTTCCCATGATTCCAATACTGTTGTATCTTGCACGCATCTCGAATGCATATGTACATTTTTTGCAACGCACGAAACACGCATAAGCTGTTGGTACTGTTGTGATACACGCATCTACTGCAATTTTTGGATGTAATCTGGTGATCATGGGCAGTTGTTTCTCGGCTACTTTTGGCTGGCAGCCGCATTGTTTCCGACGCATGTCTGAAGGCCGATTGTTCTGTCAAGGAGCTGCTCGTTAGTCCCCATGCGACGGACGATGCCGATACGTGATGCTCATGTTCGGTCTTCCCCGTCTCTCTGGACCTACGTGTGGTGTCACCGCTGTGCTGGTTGGACACTGACATTTGTGGAAGGTTGCGGGATCGGGTCTAGTGCGCTGATGGACGTTGCGTCTTCCTTTCCACGGCATGTGTGGATCGCCCATTCTCACGGAGTGGTATCTTTGTGAAGAGAGATAGAAGATGCACAGTTGCCAGTCACTCCACTAGACTGGGAATAAACTCTGTTGCCTGATTACAGTACGCCACAAACAGTGGGGTTCCTGCAGAGTTATCCCTGATTCAGTAGAATGCGCTGATGGGGGCGCTGAGTCATGGGACGTGGGTTGCCTGCTCTCACGATCGAGAATCGGCTGGCATTTGACTCGATGCGAGGATGTTTGTTCATCATCGAGCCAGAACCCCAGAATCCGTATGACTTGGCCCGTGAGAAGTGTCCCCAGGAGTGACTTGATTCAGTTTAGCGTCGGGGCTCGGGGCATTTGGTGACGACGAGGGACCGTTCAACTTGGGACAGGCAACAGACAGTGGCGGTCCCTTCTTTTCGGAGTGGGGACGGGACCGGGACCGCTTCATTCGGACAAGCTGCTGCAGTCTAAGCGACGCGCTGAGACAGAGCTCACACTTTCTGTCGCCAGTTTCCGGTTTCAAGATCCCTGCGCTCTGGTGCCGCGGTAGGCAAGTCCCGAGTCCCGCAGTCATCCGCGTTGTGCAAGGGTCCGACGGTACTGTGATGCCCCCCAAAACTAACAAAAACGGCCTAATGTCGATTCTAACAGTATATTTAAGTGCGTTGACTCCAATAGTACATTGCGTTGATACAAACACAATACGATAACGTACATGCAATTCTATGGGGGTGGATGAGATGATAGCTAGTGAATGCGAATGCAGAGCAGAGTGAGAGTGGATGTTTTGGGTGGTATGCAGGGGTCCCGTGGGAGGGATAGATACATGGCAGCCGCCTTTTGGAACATTTACAAGACGGGATGGAAGGGGCGACGGACAGGCCGTCGCGTCTAGGCGCAAGAGATAGATCACAAACTAGGCAATGCAAATCGGACGTTGCGCGAGGCGGCCACGAGGCACACAAGCAAGCGGTTGGACAAAGACACGAGGAGAGGGCTCAGGTGTGCTTGTCGACGATGTGTCTGATGCTCGAATAGATGAGATCCAGTACACCGAAGACGCCTCCGCCTCCGACTTGACTTCGCCTTGCGACGTCGAGGTGTGCGTCCGAGCAAACACCGTGAAATTTGTAGTGATTCGGGGGAGAGAGGCGCGTGTTGGCTTGGAAGAAGGAACCCATGCACGGACGAAACCGGCAAGACTTCGTGAGGATGGCGTAGAGCTCGCAACCAGAGCTTCGGTAGCACTGAGACTCCGAGCTGGTCGAGACGGCGAAGGTTTTGGTTTCGGAGCGAACTGCACATCCGAACTGAGAAAAATGGTGGGTGATGGTCGCTTCAGAAGAAGTTGGGAGGGAGAAACGAGGCGAGGTGAGGATGTCGGTGGTGTGGAATCAATGCTCTGCGTCCAACGAGTCACACGCTCCCAAAGCTGGTAAGAGGCTGCCAAGTACTCGAGTTCCTGGCGTTCCTCCTCCTCCTCCTCCTCCTCCTCCTCCTCCTCCAAATCCCATGGTGCAGGGGTGACACAAGCCGCAGAGGCACAGGATGGAGAACAAAACGTGTCGGCGTCGCTAATGATTCCGCAGTGGAGACATTCGTGTAGGCACCATTCGTCGTTCATGACCAAGACAGCAAAAGGGATAGTTGGTGGAAGGCAGGTGGAGGAGCGTTCACAGGTACGCGGTTCTTTTATACTGTCAGCGTCTAGTCGCGGCCGCCCTTCGAAATCGAGACTAGATCTCGTTCACCTGACACATCCCCATTGGGTAGTGATCGGAGATCGTGTCCCGTTTCGTTTACATCCGCATACGTCTGTGAGTGTGACGGTTGTGCACAGGTCTTTAGATACCATAACCCAATGCAAACAGCATGTTACACACACAGGTACTGGCTCGACAAGCAGAGTAGAAGTGCGCACTGGGGCCACTTATTCATATCATCTGTCACCTCAGAAGGCGAGAGACTGTCGAGTCGCGCCTCGGCACTCCAGGCTTCTTTTGCGGCAGAGGCTTGCAGGAGACGAGAAATCACTCCCAGCATCTGACTGGGAAATGATCTCCATATTTACGGACTTCTTCTTTCGAGGTCTGGAGCGACGGCAGACTGATCGAGTAGGCACACACAACAACAGCCTGCACCTAGGCCAATTCATATCTGCGTCGGGTTGACTCGGGCATATTGTTTCTGGTCGAACTTTGGGAGCTGATGACACAAAGAAGTCTTTGCCAGCACACGTAGTGTTTGAGGAACTGTTTGACTCCCTCTCCAACACCAACTGTAACGTGTCCACGTTGCTCCAGATGATGGCTACTGTGTTTTTTTGGTCTCCCCACCCTGGTTCTCCTCGGTCATGATCTTAGCTAACTCTCGGGCATCCACACGCTTCGCGTATTCTTGTCCAGCCTGGAACGGTGTCAGTTTCCACACGCAACAAAGCAGAAAGATGCAGAGATAGACACAGAACCGACATCAGGCCGCGGACGAGGCTGTGATGCATGGCGCCGCGTCGTTATAGGTCGGCAAGAACCCACCTGCAGTGCCAGGATAAGAACCATACACCCGGCTATAATTATATTTCCTGCGCTCAGTAAGCGGATAGCTTCAACCTGGTCAGCTTTGGTGTCTGTGATCGTTGGAGCTGAGATTGTCCGCAGGGACGGGACGACGACTGCGGTATACACGGCCAGACCAAAAACCACAATGCCTGTAGTATCAATTGAGAGCTGATGACTGTGCTTTCCGTCGCCCACACATACCGATGCAAGAACCGTCGAAAAACATAGCGCTGTCGTCCCACGCGTACAATTTGGCGAACAAGCCGGACATGAGCACCCCAACCATGGCATGCAGAAGCGCCTTGAGAAGAGGATGAGTGATTTCCGGGTGGAAAGAGCCCAATTTGACTGACTTTGATAGCAGGTGGTGCATTGAAGAAGGTCTCATAAAACTGGAAAGCGTCCGCGATGGTTTCGTCCGCTAGGGCACCGTTGGCAGGCCACAGGACCCGATAATCGACATTTGCGCAGATAAACAGCACACCAAGAAAGAAGCAAGTGGGAGCGAGGACAACGGCCTGACGGAAGCCCATGGGAGGGAGAAGTGAGCGCTGGATTGATGCGCTTGATGGATGATTAAGCTCAAGCTCGGGTTGCAGATACGATGGGTATATGAACGATTGTAGTCTTACAGATACTACACAGGACTAGAAAATACATGACAGGGTGACTAAGCAGGTGCAGGGGCCATGGCATCGGGTGCCTGAGCGTGGCGTGGCGAGGCTGGGGGCCTGGGCGACGATGGCAAGCCCATGCCCATCACCACACTATGACGATTCGAACGAGCAGAAACGTTGAGATTGAGCCCTTTAGAGCTGGCGGTGTTAGATGCCTTGCTCATCTTCGTGGGGATCTGTCCATCGGTCTGGCTTGGAGAGGTCTGAATCGTTGGTGTCTCCGGCTGCTGTGGGCTGACAGAGGTTGTCGACTCGATGGTCGCCGCATCTTCTGTCGTCTCTGTCCCGCTCTCGTATTGGACAGAGTCCTCATCGGATGTACCCTCTTCAGCCGCTGAAGATAGACTCAGCGTCTCATTCACTGAGGATCGAGAAAGCTTGCCTGGCAATGACCGGCCCGAAAGTCCGAGCAGCTGATCAGCTGCTCCGGTGGAATACTGGTAACTGTTCCGGCGTTGATGGCCCTGATCTGAGTCCCCATTGGGTTCGCCAGGGGCCTCAGACTCGAGTTCCTCTTCCTCCTCGTTGTCGACATTGAACACTCGGTTGAACTCGCCCAACATCAGACTGAAAACACCCGCGGGAATGCCAAGAGTTGGACTGAAAACGATTCCCACGTTTCGCATGGTCATCTTGTTCACAGATGAGTTTTGGACTATCAAGATCAGATGAGCAGTCAGTGCTCGGAGCAAGCTGTAGTTGGCGAGAGGTAGTGCGGCTATAAGCTGCGAAAGCTCGCGTATGCGCTCTTGAGCATCGACAAAGTCAATCACAGACAAGAACCGGAGATGGAGATTATGCGTCAGAATGCTGGCCGGCAGTTCCCGCAAAAAACCTTTGAGCAGACCAGCAATGGCGTGGGGGTCCCAGTATTCATCAGACGCTAGCAAGTCGATGTCGCCCTCTGTCCAGATTCATCTCAATACAGCACGGGGAGACAAGATGTCTCTTACCAAGATTGAAGCGGTCTTTGAGACTCTTGATGACAGCCGAACTGCCGCTGAGACGATAGATCCCTTCCTCCTGATCGGCCTTCTTTGCTTCGAGATACTGGATGCAGCGGAACACGATGGCCGGCAGATTCGCGATCTGAACGACGTCAAGCGACTCCTCGAGCGGGACACCAAACACGGCTCGAGGTGCGAATGTGGGCAAAGCATGCAATTTGCCGTCCGCTTTGTCCTTGTCCCCGGGCCGCCCGAAACCCCAAAACGACCTCGACTTGGCCTTTTCGCGCCGATCGCTTAACGAGGGGGTGCTAACATCGGTTGATGGCCCGTCGCGGGCCCCAAATTTGTAACCGGCGGGGATCGGTGCCCCGTTGAGCGGCCCAGAGATTTTGACTTTACTCTCTGGCTTTTCGGGGGACGGCGCTCTATCCTGCGGCACGGCTGTGATAGGAGAGGATACCACCGTATTGAGCGTGGGCTGGAACCCCTTCGAGACCCCTTCTCGCGGACGAGGCCGTTCTGGAGAATGTTGTCGCAGGTCGGAATAATGCCCTTGCTCGGAACTGGCTCGCTGCGGATAACTGGCCCCTTCCTGAGCTGCTGCAGCTGCCAAAGGCGAAGAGTCGGGCAAACTCGAGGGCTGCCCTCGAGAGCGGTCGACGGGAGAAGACTCGAGAGATCTTGCTGGACTGGCCGCCCGGGCCTGAGAGTTGACAGCATCGATGCTCGGTCGAGGTTGAGATTGGGACTGGACGGGCGGGGCAGCGCTGTACGACACCGAGTCCTCATTATACGATCCGGTGAAGTATCGCACCAGGATTTCAACCCATGCATCACGATCCTCGTCGCTTTCGGCACATAACACGTGCCGTGGATGATTTCCGCCAGGTCCCTTCTTTGCTTCAACGATCAGGAAAGCATGTCTATACTCTTTCTCTTCATCCGAAGCAGTGCGATCTGTACGCTGTTGCCGGCCTATCTGAGCGCCCACAACTTGTATCGAGCCTAGATGGGCTCCACCGCGCTGCAGAGGATGTTGAGTACGCGAGGGACTGGTGGATGTTGTCACGTACGCAGTCATAATATTCCAAAACTGGACCTTGCAACACGAAGAACCTGGTCTTCCAGCCCCCGAAATTCTTACCCCGCTTGGTCAGATAACCCTCCTTGTGCCCAGCTTGCATAACAGGTTGCTTGTAATCTCGCACGATGTCAGACGTCAGGAAGGCAATCACTTCGTCGTTGTTCTTAACCGGAAGCTTGACAAGCGCTTGTAGATAGGCTTGGAGCACCGCCTGCGAAACAGTTAATCCTCAACGGGGTACATTGAAACGGTCAACGCGCCTTTCTCTGATCAACCTTAGCCGGGGCATGATCTTTCCACAACTTGCCCTCTGGCAGCGAAACCATCTTCTTGCCAATCACCTTGCCCACACTGTTCCGCACACGTTGATCCAGTGCAATGACATCTGAGTACATCTTCTCCACTTTCCAGAACTCCTTGCCGTGACCTGGATCGACGTTCACCACGAATGAAAGCACCTCCTTGCCTCGATCATTTGGACGGACGAAGGACTGCGAGACCGTGACACTGGTCGTCGGAAGATCAGTCGAAATGAGTGGCAGTGCACGAAACGAAGCTGGCATCGCAGGTCCGACGGGTGTGCCAACAGATTGCGACGATGACGATGAGGCTCTGTTGCGTAATTGCGGGCGAGCGGCGGTTGCCTCAGATGGGGATGTGCTATACGGCTGCGGTCCACGCTGAGGGTACAGCCTCTCTTGCTGAGGAAACTTTGCCTGGTTGTTTAGATCCCGCATTGCATCGCTTGAGACATTCGGAGGCAGAGGAAAGTCGGCTGCCGCCGTGGCCTGGCGAGATAACGCTTCCACGGGCGATTGTGAAGGCTCATGACGTTGATCGTCTTCTTCGTTGTCTTGAGACCCGTCTGCTTCAGGGTCCAGGTCGGCCTCTTCACCAGCGTCTTCTTCGCCATCACCATCCATGTCCAGAAATTCGGCGGGAGTTTCATTTTGCACCGTTAACGGAGAGGAAGTGGCTGGGATGGTCGTTGGCACAATGGGCAACGCACGCGGAGCGAATGCATCTGTCTTGGGACTCGATGCCGGAGAGTCAGCCATGTTGGCGATGAACTGTCTAGCTTCGTCAGGGAGCGAGATACGTGAGTCCCGTGAGAGCGGCTGAGACCGCGATTCATGCAATGCGTTCAGCAGTGATGGCCCTGCAATAGGAGATCCGCGACTAGGACTATCAATGGGTGTACCAGGAGATGTAGTGATCTGAATATCTCGCTGAAGGTTGGAGGGATAGCTCGGCCCATTCGATGCTGGATCAGACGTCGCACCTGACGACGGAACCAATGGAGACTGCGTACGTGCTGCGTTGTGAGGTGGCGTGCGACTACCAGGAGTGGACAGTGAAGGCGCCGAGTCGTTTCTCGAAACATAGCGGGAAGGACTATTGAAGATCGCATTTTCGGACGTTGCAGAGACCGCACTAGCGGGTACCGGAAGAGTTTCGGCGCGAGGGGGTACGAGTAGAGGGGGTAGCGCCGATTTTTGTCTCGGCGGAGTGGAGTGAGAGTTGGATTGGAATGAGGGCGACGTCCCAATGTCTTGTGACGCCCCACGCTCTTGATTACGTGCCGGATTTGAACGCGGAGTATCTGCAACACACACGATTATGGGTAGAACTGAAGCTGAGAGTAGAAAACGCACGATTCGAGTCCGCCGATGGGCGACTGGACATTTGAGACCCTTCCTGTATGTCTGGGTCCGTTCCCGCGCCCGGGGCAGCACCATTCTCCCTCCGCGGCCTGCGGTCGGGTGACACGCCCACGACGGCGGAGAGCTTGGCCTTATAATTATCCCGCTCACCCCGCACTCGTTCTAGTTCCTTCAATATCTGATTGTATCCCGAACGCTGCTTCTCGATGAGCTTCCAGAGCTGTCCATTCTGAGAGCTGAGGACGTTGCGCTCTTGCACGGCTTGATCGAGCGCTGCCAGCTTTGGGTCTTGAGAAGTGGCATGCGTTTTCATGAGAGATTCGATGGTCAACGACGCAGTCTGTCCTAAAGGACCAGGAGACTGAGGGAAAGATGCAGAGGAGGCTGAGGATGCAGTAAGGGTCCGTTGATGAAGATTTGGAGTTGGGTTGAGCGGGAAACCGGGAGATGAGGTAGAGGAAGGAGGAAAGGGGTGCTGGTTCCTGCTCGGTGTCGAGCTCATGTTTGACGGGAAGACCACAATCACAACGGCGGCGGCCACACGACGACGAGGTGGTGGTGAAATTCACTAAGGTCCCAAACCGGGATCCAGGGGATCAAGACATGTGACGATCACGCTGTGGTACTGTCACCCATCTATCGCGGCGGAGACACTTGAAGTTGTTGAACCTGAATGTTTCGAATCACGCGCGTGAAAAATGCTCTACGCGTTCCTCGACGTCTATGTCAGATACCCAGGCGCTATTCATCGTCCAATGATGGGGGCTCTGAGCATGCGGTCATCTCTACGTTCGATCTCTTCAGTATTGGAGGTACCCCATCTCTCCACCGGTCCGAGCACACTTATGTAGACCATGACTGCTAGTTGGCCCTTCGTCTTCCCACACCGTCGGTCCCATGAGAGCCGGAAAGATCTTCTGCGCTGACCTCGAAGAGTTGAACCTGCTTCAAAAAGTGCCATCCTTCTGAACTGTGTGTGGGCGTAATGCTCACCTTTTAATCAGGTTCACACCGTGAAGATCACATTGTGGGTCTCCATACGACTTGACTGGATGTCTGGTTGAGCTCTCCAGATATGGTTCCCTAGCGGCTACGGGTAAAGGGTAACCGCACGCCTTTCCCGTGCCACGGTGTCAGATCCCTCATGCGTGTTCCATCTAGGCATCACACTCCGCAAGCCATTTTGCTTGGTCTAGAAGGCAGCGACCCCGAGACGATTGACACTGGGACGATTCCGTCGCGATACGATACGATTCTAACGGGGAAATCGCTATTGCTTTCCGGTTATCATCGAATTCGTTATGACATGGACCGTGATATGCTTTGGCGCTGGGATCAAGTCCTCAAGACCCATCCGAACGGCATGCGTTTCAGTGTTTTCGATGAGAATGGCGACCTCCTGGCCACAAACGAATATTTCAGCGTTGGAGGTGGCTTTGTTGTGAATGACAAGACCAAAGTGGACGAGAATCTCTTTTACAAAGGCGTCGACAAGAAAGCCGTTCACGGAGCAAGACTGCATCAAGTCCACGCTCCGGTAGACTCGGACGCCGCTCCTCTCCCCGAACCGTCACCTGAAGGGTCCGAGGACCCGATCGCAGAGCATGTCGTGGAGCCGGGTCCGCCCTATCCATTTGCCTCTGGTAACGATTTGCTGGAACTGACAAAAAAGCATAACGTGTGTGCTTGTCCCTTGCCTTTATACGGACCGCCTGCTGACCCCCGTACTGCAGATGACAATAGCGCAAATCGTATGGGACAATGAGCGTTCGTTCGGATATTCTGATGAGGAGGTGCATGCCAAGGTGTGTTCGCTCTCTTTCAGCGGCCATGGCTGAGTACATGGCAGCTTATGCGCATCTGGAGTGTGATGGATGAATGCATTCGCACAGGTGTGTCAACTAGCGAGACCACTCTGCCTGGACGCCTGCGATTGAGACGTCGGGCACCCATGCTGTATCGCCGTCTGATGAGGGGGTTCGTGGCCTGCTCGAGTCCGGACAGTGCTCTGATTTGGCTAGGTTTTATCCCGGGATCTCTGGCACTGCAATGATCAATCCGGTCATCTCAAGTGGTTCAGCGGGTTGGCGGCCTGACAGTGCTATTGACTCGCCGAGGGACTCGACGGATCCAACAGCAGGGTTGCCGAAGCATTCTGACGAGCCATTGCCTGTTCGACTGTCAGGTTCGCGTGCTGCCAGAGTAGTAGGCTCGTTCGAGCACGCGGTGTTACCAATGCCGCCGGTGAGTCAAGCGCTGTACATTCCTGCTTAAATTGAATGATGAACCACATAAGAGGCGCACCGTCATACCCGCCATGGATTTTCTCAGCTGCTATGCGATCGCTGTCAACGAAGTCAACGCCGGCGGTGGGCGGATTGTAACGTCTCCCACCAATGTACGATGCCATCTCCTCAACTGAACAACTGATCCGAACCGATGAACGTGTAGGGTGCTGCGGGTAAGTTGGGTTCATATCGTATGCAGAGCGCCAGTCAGTGAAGCACGTTACAGGTGTGATACCTGCCGTTCTGAAGTACATCATCGAGGTCTGTCGTGTTTTTTTTTCCCTCTGTGCGAGCTCCGACTTACTCGCTCCAGTTCGTGAGCGATGATCCCGAAAAGAGTGTGATTACATTTCTATTAACTGCTTCTGTGAGAACTGGTTCTGAGCATGTACTTTATTTGAGCTCATCATTGGGCAGGCTATCGGAATGCTGTTCAAACGAGGGAGTACGATCTCTGCTGCCGAGGGCGGATGCCAAGCAGAGGTTGGAGTCGCGTGTTCGATGGCCAGTGCTGGATTTGCTGCTTGTATGGGCGGTGGGTGTGCTCTGCTCAGACTGGCTAATCACGCTTACGTTCTATCAAATGAAGCCTCCCCCGAGACTGTGCTCCAGGTGCGTTTGACAGAGATGGGTCTGGCATCTAGCCAGTGCTGAAGAGACCTTTATAGGCGGCAGAGATCGGCATAGGTGTGTCGATATGTTTGGACGGGATTTGTGTCTGATTGTGACCAGAGCATAATCTGGGCTTGACCTGTGGTCAGAATCGCTACTATTCTCTGTCTGCAGACCCTTTTCAATTCTTTGCAGATCCCATTGACGGCTTGGTACAAATTCCTTGCATCGAACGGAACAGTCTCGGAGGTGGGCTGTGTCGTGCCTTCGGCTGTGATATATCTGACCGCCTGCGCAGCTGTAAAGGCTATCACCGCTGCTCAGCTCTCCCTTGCAAGTGACGGAGTTTATAGTGTCACGCTGGATGAGGCCATAGAAGCCATGCGACTTACAGCTGCTGACATGAGCGTCAAATACAAAGAAACATCTCTATCTGTGAGTGGGTTTCGTCATTCCCACACGTCTACTCAATCATGTTCCCTAGGGCCTTGCAGTAAGCATTACGTTATGGCTTGGGTTTGAGCTCATTGCCGTGCAGACCACTGTCAAGATTCCTCTGACCGTCCCAGCTTGCTAGATCCTTCCATCTGCCTCAGTTCTCTATGCAGTTTAGAGTACCTACTAGAGCGACACGATCGCAAGTCAGATTACAAGCTTATAAACTCACGAGTTGCAACGAACAGCGCCTCTGCGCTCCAGATAAACTTTCGGCCGATCTTGCAGCGCTCCAGCGAATCGATTTTCGCCGCCACGCCCAACACTCGCGGTTGCCCTTCTTTCCGCACAATCTACCATCACCTCCGAAGGCACTCCGTCGTCTCACTTCCGGCCACCGGAACATCGACCTGCGTGTTACTAGTGATCGTATTTCCAAACCTGTTCCGAGGGCGCCTTCGATTCTTCGAAAGTCGGCTCGTTCTAATCTCGACGCGAGCATCCCTCCTATTTCTCAGGATCCTGAGTCCTCCGCCAAGGCGGGGCTTGCTCGGGCCAGATCAAACGCCTCTCGGTGCATAGTTCCCGATCACAGTGCTTGATCCATTGAATACTTTCCATCTACTTGTTGAATTCGAATGCGGAGACCAGCCTTTAACTATCCGGGGAAACGTAAAAGAATCAGTTGACGAACGCGACGTCCACGATGCGCAGATCTTCTTCCGCGATGGTACGTGGCGCCAAAGAAGCGGACTTAGAATGTGTGAAGGAGTCGGAGCTTAGTGCACCTCCACTCCTCCACTGTCTAATGATCAACTCGCCGCGCTCATTTCGCCGTCCAAACGCATTTCGCACTCAATCATCCGGCCAGCCGTCGACGGTTACGCCGCTGACGCACCCGCTGCCGTCGTTTTAATTGCAGGCGCCAGTAGATGCGGCCAGGAAGAACTCAAGATTATTTCTGCTTTCTCTCAGTAACCAGTTGGAGCAAGGCGGATGGGGTAAGCCGGGCGTGGATGAAGCTGTGCTCGCCTCCAAGAGTAGAAAGAATGGCGTGCGTACCCACCGTGTAGTGATTTGTCCATTACATCCGATTATTGCCGAAGTCTCAGGTTGTCCTGATCTACGATGTCCATGAAAGCTTTCAATACACGATTGACGCGTCTGCTTGGTACATGGGAACATGGAATTGCCTTTCAAGTTTCGATGCTCATGCTCATTAGGCACGAAGACCCCAATTGTGTCCGCTCCGATGGCTGGAGCAGCGGGCGGTGAGCTGACTCAGGCTGCTCTGAGTCAGTCCGATCTCATTATTGGTCCCCCAGGCGAGTTGGCCGGTCGCGTCTCTGCTGCTGGAGGCTTTGGATTTCTCTCTGCCGGTTTGTGTTGAGGATAATTCATAGTCGCGGCCTATTGAAGTGGCCACCACATCCAGGCTACGGTCTGGGTTCCGACCAGTTCAAGCAACAACTAGATCTGGCTCGTAACCTTTGTGCTCCTTCACGACGGATCCCTGTGGGTGTTGGCTATCTTGCGTGGCAACTTGAGAAGCCCCAATCTCCGCTCGTCGACCTTCTCCTTGTTGCTCTGGACCAGCGCGTCCAGGCTGTCTGGTTCGCGTTCGGTGCGGATATCGAGAAATGGATCAGCATCGTACGCGAGCACGACCGCCGCACGGGCGAGAAGACTCTAATCTTCGTGCAAGTTTCTACGGCGCAAGAAGCAGTAGTCGCCGCTCGGGAATGGAAGGTGGACTGCATTGTGGCGCAAGGTGTGCTCCCTGGTTACATCCAACAACGCGGCTTGTTGATCGCACTCTATTCAGGGATCGAAAGTGGCGGTCACGGTGCAGGCTATGCCCTTCCCGTTGTCAACCTGGTTCCCTCGATTCTCGACAGTCTTTCCGCAGATCGGCAAATTCCGATTCTTGCCGCCGGTGGACTGACGAATGGATCTCATCTTGCGGCTATCCTGACTCTTGGTGCCGATGGTGCTGTGCTGGGGACCCGATTTCTCTTGGCGAAAGAAAGTTTGTATTCGAGGACCCAGAAAAGCGCATTGCTCGCTGCATCATCTGAGATGTCTGTGAGAAGCATGGCCTGGGATCATGCCAGAGACACTCTGGGCTGGCCGACAGGAGTCGATGGCCGTGGCCTCAAGAACGGTATTATATATGGCTCACGTGAAGCAGGATTTTTCTGATCTCTGCAGCGATTGTCCGGGACTTTGAACGTGGCGTGGATGTTGCGAGCTTGCGAAAGCAGCTGGAGGAAGGCACTGCTCAAGGCGACCCTGATCGAATGATCATTTGGGCAGGGACAGGAATCGGACAAATCAACGTAATCAAACCAGCTGAGGCAAGTCTAGCAGGTACATCTAGTCAAGTATTCTCGTTAACGGACAGCTTTGCAGGAGATTGTCAAGGAATTGCACATGGAATGTATGGATCATCTAAAAACAGCCGCAAACATCATACAGTAAAAATACACCTCATTTTCCTTGTTAAGATCAGTGCACAATCTCGACGGTGAGATCGCCTTGGTTGATCGAGTCGCCTTCCTGGACAACGACACGTTTGATGTGACCAGAGACGGGGGCCGTCACAGCCGACTCCATCTGGAAAGAATGAGCATCGAGCCATGCGGAGAAGCAGCCTGGCTACCTTCATGGCACTCAAAACAGCAAGCGGATCTCCCTTCTTGATTTCCTGGCCCTCTTTGACCCGCACCTCGACGACGACACCTGACATGGGAGCACCGACTGATCCGGGGTCGTTGGTCGCCTTCTCCCGGGAGACCGTGTCGACGGCCGAGTTCTTGTCCTCCACAGACACGGCGCGCACCTGCGGGCTGGGATCAGACACACGCTGACCCAATGGACGCCCGACGCACCTCTCCGTTGACTTCGAACCAGATGTCACGCTGAGCCCGACCCTCGACCACAGGTCCAACAGCCATCAGACGGATGATCAATGTCTTTCCGGCCTCAATCGAGATGTGCATCTCCTCCCCGATGTCAGGTCGCCCCAGGAAGTACCGGGTGGGAATCACGCTGAGATTATGATGCCATGTCAAAATCCGCGTGTTGTTTTGGAAGAGATGTCACTGACCTGAGATCACCGTATTTCTCGATGAACCCTTGATATTCCTCAAACACCTGTCCCCCAGTCAACACGACGAAGGGATCAACAGAGAGGCGGACCACACACCTTCGGATACATCACAGACGAAATCACATCGGCATCAGTGATGTGTTTGCCGAATTGGCTTCGGAGGTCAGCCTTGATCTTCTTGAAGTCCAGCGGCGCCATTGTCGCACCAGGACGCCCGTCAATGCGAGGCTTGTCGCGGATGACACGCGACCGAAGAGGTTCCGGGAATCCGCCGACCGGCTGTCCAAGGTATCCCTGGAAGAATTCGACGACAGAAGACGGGAAGTCGAGATGCTCGGCACGCTCCAGCACTTGCTCTTTCGAGAGAGAGTTGGAAGTCATCCATTGGGCGAAGTCGCCGACGACTTTAGAGGACGGGGTGACCTGCAAAACCGGTCAGGTGCTATCCGAGGGCTCTATGAACGGTCTGGTCTACCTTGATGATGTTGCCGCACAACTCGTTTGCTTCGATATACTTCTGCTTGATGACAGTCCACTGAGTGCCAAGACCGAGTTGAGACGCTTGGAACTATGGTGAATCCGATTCAGCCTAGGAACTTTATCGACACAAGCCACTGACCATCAAGTTGGTGTATTGTCCTCCGGGCATTTCGTGGTCGAACACACTCGAGTCAGAGGCCCTCACATTGGCCTCGAAACAAGTGTAAAGCATGCGAACTTGGCTCCAGTACAGGTTGAGGGCCTGGATGTCCTCGAAACGAATGCCTGTTCCGAGAGACGTCTGCTCCAGGGCCATGCAGACGGCACCCATCGAAGGCTGCGAAGTCAGTCCGGACATGCCTAAAAGATCGCACACATGATGAGCGGGGGAAGGTAAAAACAATGAGACAACTGACTGTCAATAGCGACATCAACAACATCTGCGCCAGCAGCAGCGCAGGCAATCATGCTGGCGGCAGCGATCCCAGCAGTGTCGTGAGAATGGACGTGAATGGGGAGGTCCGGGTGAGCTTTGCGGATCGCCCCGATGAGACTGTGGTCGTGTCAGTCATAAGCAAAGAAAAGAGTGTCATGCAGAGACAGACAGACATTTTAGCAGCCTCGGGCTTCAGCAAACCTGCCATATCCTTGACACCGAGGACGTGAATACCCTCTTGGACCAGTTGATCGACAAAGTCGAGGTAGTACTGCAGCGTATACTTCTTCTCGTTCGGACTGGCAACATCTCCGCTGTAGCACACGACAGCTTCACAGACACCACCCGCCTTCTTGGCTGCATCGATACCCAATTTCATCTTAAAAGGATGATTAGTCAGCAGACTCTATTGCTGCAATCACAGCACTCACGTTCTCTGTGAATGTCTCAGTTCGAGCACCCAGTGAGGATCTGATTCAAGCACTCACCGAAGTAGTTCAGGGAGTCGAAGACACGGAAGATATCGAGTCCGTTCTCGACAGCCTTCTTGGAGAACTCGTAGATGGCATTATCGCTAGACACCAGTCAGGAGAGAATGCTAGAAGCTGGGATAAAACGCACGGGTAGCTAGTGTAGCCGACGCCGTTGGCTCCACGAACCAGAGCTTGCAGGGGAATGTTGGGAACAAGCTTGCGCAGAGTACGCTGTGATGCGATCAGTCACGTGATGATGATCTGATTGACCACAACATACCAGACGCTCCCACGGGTCTTCGTAGAGGAAGCGCATGGCGACATCGAAGGTAGCACCACCCCAGCACTCGAGACTGTACGCATTGGCCAGGGCGTAGCTTGTTTCCTTAGCAATGTTGACCATGTCGATCGTCCTGAGTCGGGTAGCGAGCAGCGACTGATGGGCGTCACGCCACGTGGTGTCCATGATGAGCGTGCCCGGGTAAGCCCGGACTGCTTTCGCAAAGGCCTCGGGGCCTTGCTCGACAATGATGTTTCGCCAGCCAACAGAGCAGGGCACAGAAGCATCCAGCGGCGCCCCGTTGATCGGATCTTCTCGGCTTTGGAACTTGGGAATGACGATGTCATCCTTGAGTCCAGGCTCACCGACCTGGCCCTTGATGGAGCTACCATTCACCGCCAGGTCGCCCAAATAGGCTAAAAGCTTTTGAGCACGGTTCTGGCTCTGCACAAGCTTGAACAGCTCCGGTGTGTCGTCGATGAACTGTGGATCATGAAAACAGACCCCCGACCTTGGACACATACACTCACTGTCGTCCAGGTCTTGCCACTGATGAAGACATCGTGAGTCAACAGACGGAACAAGAACGGAATGTTGGTCTCAGACACAGGTCAGATGGATACGAACCACGCGCAGAGCTGCATACCTTGACACCGCGGATGCGGAATTCGACCAATGCACGGAGCATCTTGCGACGGGCAACCTCGTACGTCGTCCCGCTGACACTGCATTTGACGAGCAGACTGTCGTAGTGAGGCTAGAGAAGGGAGAACATGAGGAGAGGCAAGACAGTGTTAATATGGATAGCCGCACAGTGATCTGAGCCCCGGCGAAACCGGAGCTTGCGTCCAATCGAACGCCGTTGCCTCCAGCGCTTCGATAGACCTCAATCTTTCCGGTATCAGGCTGGAAGCCAGTAGCAGCGTCTTCAGTAGTGATACGACATTGGATGGCAAAGCCCCGCTTGGTCACAGCCTCTTGTGTCAAGCCAAGCTGAGGAAGGGTGGCGCCAGCAGCGATCTGGATCTGAGCAGCGACAATATCGATGCCAGTGATCTCCTCTGCTCGGGTAAGAAAGGGATGGGTGAATGACATGGAAGTACTCGCCTGTGATAGTGTGCTCCACTTGGATACGGGGGTTAATCTCGATGAAATAGTGACGTCCCATTTGGTCGACCAAGAATTCGGCAGTTCCAGCATTACGGTAGTTGACGCTCTTCGCTAGCTTGATAGCATCAGAGAGAATGGCTTGTCGGACTTCTTCCGGAAGGTTAGTAGCCGGAGCAACCTCGACCACTTTCTGGTGACGCCTCTGAACTGAGCAGTCGCGCTCGAAGAGGTGGATGGTGTTTCCTTGGGCGTCGGCGAGTAACTGGACCTCGATGTGACGGGGTCGTTCGAGGAATCGCTCGATGAAGACCGTGCCATCACCGAATGCAGCCTTGGCCTCGCTTACGGCCCGCTGGAATGCATCTTTGAAATCAGACTGCTCCCGGACCACACGCATGCCTCGTCCACCACCACCCATGGCAGCCTTGATGATCACTGCATGCGATCAATATACGATAAGATAATGGCACATCTTCTCTCTCACCAGGGAATCCATATTCTTTGATGAAGGCGTCTCCATCGGTGTACGAATCGACGGGCCCCGGGGTCCCGGGAACCACTGGAACGCCAACCTTCATGGCTAACGTCAAATGTTAGTGATTCGATTCATGGTTGAGAAGAGTGTTTGACGTGCCGAGCACACGGGCTTTGGTCTTGTCACCAAGATTATCGATAACCTCTGCCGTAGGACCAATGAAAGCAATGCCGGCTTGCTCAACTTTACGCGCGAATTCCGCGTTCTCTGAAAGGAACCCATATCTTGACCGGGTCATCAGCCACTACACGTGTGGACAGTGATACGACGATCGCACCCAGGATGGATCATGTCGACACCGTGCTCGAGGGCGATGCGGATGATATCGTCCTGCGCGAGGTAGGCCCCAACGGGAGTAAGCCCCTTGCCGACTTGGTACGCTTCATCGGACTTGTTTGCGGGTCAGAAAACAGCACGTTGCGCGTCGAGGCACGCACCTTCTGACGATGAGCAGAAAGACGATCTTCATAGGAGTAGATAGCAACGGTGTGCATAGCGAGCTCGTGAGCGGATCTGAAGACACGGATGGCGATTTCCTGCAGGCAAATAAGTAAAGAGAAAGAAATAACATCTGAGACCTACACCGCGGTTGGCGACGAGGACCTTGGGCAAAGGCCCGCTGTGTCCCGCACCTTTGCGGCGCATGGTCTGGATCGAATGCACCGGAGTCCCCGGGGCCGAAGGAAACCCGCTGAAGGTACCCAGACGAGGTGTGGAGTGTGCTGCCATCGAGCTATTCATTGTGGAATTGGATCTGAGACTGGGCACTCACGAAGGAGGGTGGTCATGGTTGTGAGGAAGAGAGTCTAGCTGGCGACTGATTGCGTTGATTTCCACTATATAGCTGGCCAAGGGTTTATCTAGCTCCGGTTAGAAGCCACAGGAAGCAACCTGCCAAGGTATTCGCCGACACTCCCAGGCTACAGGGCTTACGACCGGCCCGCCTAAAGTCCGCGTTTAATCCGTGAATGTTGATGATGTTGACAACAACACGTCGCGTAAACAGGACAATATACGTGTAAATCGCTTCACTCAAGTCTCAGAAAAAGCCAGAAAAGTGCCTGAGAAGGACGACTGCTCCAACACCTGAATCTGTCTCTCTGCTCATGATTGGCCGTGTTTTAAGCCATGCCAAACCCATAGCACGACGCACGAGCCAAATGAGAACAGTTCGCGTCGAGTCACACCCAAAATCGATCCTGATATTTAGATCCAAATCTAGCCTATCTCACTCCCCATCTTCTTTCACGATGGATTCGGTCCTTCATACATTTTCTGCACTCTCGATCGCTCCTGTGGCACAGATCGCGCACGCCGAGACGTCATCTCCGGCGACGTGGCGACAGGCTCTCGATGAAAATGCCTCCGTGTCCACGAAATCGTTCGAACTCGTCAAGACCTTGGTCTTCAAGCCAAAGACCGCGAAGACTGCGACTCCCGTACCCGTCGTGCTCATCGCCCGCGATGAAACGGACACAAATGCCGGGACCCTGGGGAAACACCTCAATCTGAAGGAGATGCGACTGGCGTCCGAAGATCTACTGACCGAATTTTTTGCTCTTGATAAAATTCGCGTGCGTATTCTGTATATTCGCTTTCTTTTTGGCCTGTTTAACGATTCATTGTCAGTTTCTCCCTTCGCTCTCAACTCCACGACCTTTCCCAAGGTCGTGACTGTTGTGGATTCGACTATCGCAACCTCGACCTCGACCTTTGCAGTGCATGCGTTATCTTCGAGCTCGACTGTCTTTGTCTCCGGGAAGGACATCGTTTCGTATCTGAGAGTCTTGAAACCGACGCGGCCAAGGTCATCGAAGTCAATTTTGCTGATCTCAGCAGCGCTTCCACTGCTGGGGCAGCTCAGACCACTTCAGCCCCCAAGCCAGTGAAAGATGATGGAAAGATCGAAGGAGCAGTCCAGATTGCCATCGGAGTCAAGAAGGAGGTTGACTTTGCTGGCTGGTACACGAACGTGAGTCACAACTTCCAACGAATAACAGATATTCATGAATCGATTCAGGTCCTCATCAAAGCAGATATGCTGGACTATTACAGCGTCAGTGGGTGCTATATCCTCAAACCCTGGTCGTACAGCATTTGGGAGGAATCACACGTACGCTTGAGACATTTCTTGTGGTTCATGATCGAAACGTCAATCAGAGTGGTTCAATACCGAAATCAAGGAACTTGGCGTGCAAAACTCTTATTTCCCAATGTTTGTGTCCCAGAAAGTTCTTGAACGAGAGAAGGATCATATCGAGGGCTTTTCTCCGGAGGTGGCCTGGGTTACTAGAGCGTAAGTATTCTGTTTCATGAACGTGAAGGCACTTAATCTTCGCCAGTGGAAGCTCCGATCTCGAGGAACCGATTGCTATTCGTCCCACGTCTGAGACGGCGATGTATCCGTGTACGCCTCCTGATGCGATTGTCACTTTCCCGTCTAGACTCCATGCAGACTATGCTAAATGGATCAAGAGTCATCGTGACCTGCCATTGAAGCTCAACCAGTGGAACAGCGTCGTGCGATGGGAGTTCAAGAACCCTCAGCCGTTTCTGCGGACCCGAGAATTCCTGTGGCAGGAGGGACACACAGCCTTCTTGACTAAACCTGAAGCTGATACCGAGGTCCGACAAATCTTGGACCTCTACCGACGCGTGTTTGAGGATCTTCTTGCCGTTCCTGTCATCCCGGGCGTCAAGTCTGAAAAGGAGAAGTTTGCTGGTGGCCTGTACACAACGACAGTTGAGGGCTTCATCCCACCTCAGGACGAGGAATTCAGGGTGCCACGTCACATTGTCTCGGACAGAACTTTTCTCGCCGGAGATGTTCAACATCTTTGTCGAGGACCCGAACGACCCAACGGGACAGGGCAAAACTATGTTTGGCAAACGCGTGGGGTCTTTTCGACGCGAACGCATCGTAGTCATGGTCATGGTCCACGGTGACAATCAGGGA